GGGGGGGGGGGGGGTTGTTGCCCAATTACACCAAGAAGACCTCCCACTCCCCCCCAAAGGGCTATAGTAACAATAGGTATCCTTTTCCCCTCCCTTGCCTTAGTTTTGGATTTTGGGGAGCAAGTTAGTGCAAGCTAAGGGTGGTGGCAACCATATCTAAACACCCACTCCCACTAAATCAATGTTAATCCTCTCTCTACAGTCAGTCCCCCCCCTAGTAGTGGTTGATTGGGCAAAGGATCATTTCAACCAACATGATGAGCTGACATTATTGGATTATTAATAATAGCCATGTTGTTGTCTAGTTGGACTGGAATTAGTGGGACAAGTAGATTCTTGTCAAAGTCATTTTCACCAAAGACAATGTCTATACTAAGCATTGTCTCTTTAGTGGTGGGATCCTATAGTTTATAAACTTTCTGACTATGCTCATTGTCATGAGCATATCCTACAAAATATGAGTTTTGACTTTTTGGATCAAGTTTTTTGTAAAGGATATATGCATAACCTGAGACTTAGAGATGATAGACATTACGTTTTATGTCAGTTCAAGTTTCTTTAGGAGTTTTTCCTTTGAGTGTGACCATGAGTAGTTAAGTTGGAATATGCATGGCTATTGCAATTGTCTCCTGCTAAAATTCTTTGTCAAACTTGCTCCTGTATAGAAGTCTTCCCAATCTTCATCTTGACTATGGCCTTGTATAGCTTAAAAGCCTCCACCACCTCAGCATAGAAAAAAAATGCATGCTTTTTCAACTGAAATCATCAATCAATGTCATAATATATCTTGCACCAAAATGATTGAGCACCTCTATTAGTCCACAAAGGTCCAATGGATCAACTCTAGGATGATCATAGTGTAGACAAAGCAAAGTTCTTATGATGGTGTTTCCCCAACACGCATGATTCGCAAAAAGCATAAATGAAGCTAATATTTAGATCAAGTCTGATTACCATCTTCTTTAGAAGGATATCTTGGAGAGATTTATAGTTGGCATGACCAAGATGACAATGCCAAATATAGGCACTGCTCTCTAAATTTTCAGTCTCAATGTTTGTGGTAATATAGCCGAAAGGGGATATTTCATATAAGTTTTCCCATGCAATAAAGTTTGTGTTTGCCCCATCATGTAAAAGCTTTGCTTGTCCATAAAAGTGACACCATTGTCATTGAAAACAACAACGCTGCTAACCTTTTATTCCAAGGTTTGTTACAACATCTGTAGCATTTGGGCAATTGCAAGCCCAATGCCCAAATTCCTAGCACAACTTGCAATGGTCTTGACTAATGTGTGTTTCTTGTCTGCTGCAAAGAGTCCTACCAGCATGCCCTCCATGCTGGTGTAGGGTGGAGGCCGCTCCACCACCATATGAGATGCATTTTCCTTGCCCACAATGGCCTCCACTGTCATGTCCACAGCCTCCATGGCTGCCACCAACAGCCTCCAACCTCCTCACAAACATGGTGCAAGGCACCTTATAACTTTGGAACCTCTCTTTATTCAGCAGGGAAGTGTTCACCAACTTTGTTACTATTTCATCAAGTGAAAGGTTTGGCTCCCACATCAATGCCTTGGCAACGTCATCCCAGTCTCTCAAAAGTGACTTGGAGAGCTTCACCTTCTGCACGGAGTCAAAAACCTTATGGTCCTTGCCTTGAGAAGCTAAATCTGCATATAGCCCAGAGAGTCCACCTACTGTTGCATATCTTCACCATCCTAAAAAGTGCAAGCCTCTAAGACTGAATGGATCTTCATCAATTCTATATCAAACTTCTTGCAGCCCGCACCCTAATTGTCCATATTAAAGGACCTTTTGGCTCCTGGCGAATATTCGTACCATTTATAGGGCAGAAGAATATACTGTGCATGTAGTCATTCAGATTTTAGGGTTCTTGGTGGGCAGCAGCGTGATGATCACGGGGCCTGATGGGGGAGAACACGGTGAGATTCAGCGCCGTCAGCGACATGCTGGAGCGCATTTCCAAGAGCAAGAAGCTGCCGGTGAAGCGCAAGACCTTCCGCACCTTTCTGGATCACTTCTACACCGATCGCGAGTATTTCAGCGTGATGCGCCTAGTTCTTCCGGAGCTGGACAGGGAGCGCGGCAACTACGGCCTCAAGGAATCGGTGCTGGCCAAGTGCCTCGCCGACGCGCTGGGCCTGGCCAAGGGATCCAGCGACGCCGACAAGCTCGTCAACTGGCGCAAGGGTGGGTCGAGCGTCGGGAAGAATGCCGGTAACTTTGCGCTGGTCGCCGCCGAGATCGTGGGCAGCCGCCAGAGCCACACCTCGGGCGGCCTCACCGTCAAGCGCGTGAACGAGCTCCTGGATCAGCTGGCCGAGGTGAAGAGCCGCGAGGAGAAATCCAAGGTCCTGGCGGAGTTCATCAACAAGACCAATCCCGTGGAGATGAAGTGGCTGGTGATGATCATCCTCAAGGATCTCAAGCTGGGCATCAGCGAGAAGACCGTCTTCAAGGAGTTCCACCCCGACGCCGACGAGGTGTACAACAAGACGTGCGATCTCAAGCTGGTTTGCGAGAAGCTGGTGGATCCCAAGGTGCGATTCAAGCGCCAGGACATCGAGGTTGGCAAGGCGGTGAGGCCGCAGCTCGCGTCCCGGGTGAAGAACGCCGAGGATGCGTGGAAGAGGATGAGGGGGAAGAGGGTGATCGCCGAGTGTAAGTTCGATGGTGATCGCTGCCAGGTCCATAAGGATGGGAACGAGGTCCACTTTTTCTCCAGGAGCTCCATCGATCACGTCGAGTTTGCCGCGGCCATGAGCAGCGTTATCTGCGAGAACGTCAAGGCGTCGAAGTGTATCCTCGACGGGGAGATGGTGGTGTGGAACCGAGTGACGAACAAGTTTGCGGAGTTTGGGACAATTCATGCGGTGGCCAAGAATGCCAAGGATGGCGTCCAGAGCGACGAGCAGCTTTGCTACATCGTCTTCGACATTCTCTACCTGGACGATTGCAGCGTGATTCACCAGCCGCTCTGCGAGCGACAGAAGCTGCTCGAGCAGAAGGTGACGACTGTCCCTGGCCGGTTCGAGCTGCTTCAGCCGGATCGGAGGAACTGCGGCGGCCAGCTCTGGTCGATCACTCCACAGTCCGCTGCCGACGTCGAGAAGTTCTTCCTGATGACCGTGGATAACAGGGAGGAGGGAATCGTCGTCAAGGACTTTGATTCCAAGTGGGAGCCTGGGGACAGGAGTGGAAAGTGGATGAAGCTCAAGCCCGACTACGTGAAGGAGAGCGAGATGGATGTGCTGATCATTGGTGGCTACTATGGATCGGGACGGCGGGGTGGTGATGTGGCTCAGTTTCTTCTCGGCATTGCCGAGCGTCCAGCGAGCGGGTATCCGACCAAGTTCCACTCGTTTTGCAAGGTTGGCACGGGGCTCAGCGATGAAGAGTGCCGAGTTTTGGTTGACAAACTAAGGCCGTATTTCAGAAAATATGACAAGAACACCAAGCCTCCGAGTTACTACGTGGTGACTAACAACGCCAAGGAGCGCCCGGACGTGTGGATCGAGCAGCCGGACAAGTCTGTGCTCCTGGAGGTGAAGAGCGATATCCGAAAGATCAAGTCGGAGGTGTTTGCCTCGCCTTACAGCCTCCGCTTTCCAAGAGTTACCAGGGTCCGGTACGACAAGCCTTGGAACGAGTGCTTGGATATCCAGGAGCTTGTGAGGATGGTGGCGGAGGACACAGGTGCTGGTGTAAATGGAGATGGTGATGGCGGCCGGAAGAAGAAACAGGAGAGGTCTCCCAAGAAGAAAGCTCCAAAGCTTCCTTTGCTGGCGCCTCATATGCAGCAAACAGACGTTTCCGGCGTGAAGAAGGTGTCCGACATGCTCAGCGGCCTGGTCTTCTTCCTGGTGAATTTCAAGCTCGAGGACAAGGAGAGGTTCCACAAGCTGGTGGCCGAGTATGGAGGGAAGTTCTCGATGAACTTGAATGGCGACGTAACTCACGTCCTTGCCGAGAGTCCGAAGGGCCTTCTGTACGAGACCGCAACCAAGCGAGGGGACGTGATCCATTCCTCGTGGTTTATGGACTCGATTGCTGCGAAGGAGCTCCTTCCGCTCAGGCCCAAGTACATGCTTCACCTCTCGTACAAAACGAGGGAGACTCTCAAGGACACTTTGGACGAGTTTGGAGATCACTACTTTGTGGAAGTGGACGAGGCAGACATGAAGCAGCTGTTTGGACGCATGCGAGTCGAGGAGCTCTCAGTGAACGATAAAGACGTGGACGAGCACAGGGGCAGCCTTGGCGACAGGAAGAACATCTTTGAAGGCTGCTCGTTCTACTTTTACTATCCTCGCGAGGCGGCAGTAGCAGATGAAGCGATGATTGCTGGAGTCGTTCTCAGGAGGCTGGAAGTGGAAGTGGAATTGCGCAAGGGTGCTGTGAAGCCGTCTCTTGCTAGAGCGACTCATATGATCGTGTTCTGGGACAGCGAAAGGGATCACAGTGAAGCCGGTCTCTCTTTCTCGGAGAACAAGCTGGTTTCAAGCAAGAAGCTGAGAGTCTTGAGTCACAGATGGTTGGAGGAGGCGCTGAGGAGGGATAGTGTTCCTCCGGAGGACGATTACGACGTGAGGCAGGCTTTGGGATCTCGGCTGGTGGAAGAGTCTCCTCCACGACAAGAAGAACCAGAGCTTTCGAAAGAAAACTCGGAGCATGAAGCCGGAGATGAAGAGCAGGATGAGGAGAGGGTGAGTGTTTTTGATACTCTAGTTTTGGAAGAGATGGACGGGCTGGAGAACGAAGAACTCCCACCGAAGAAGAAGCGGCACTTGCAAGAGATGGCTACCCCGACTCTGGCGAAGACGCTCACTTTGCCAACTACATCATCGAGTTTGGACTTGTGGCCTACCGCGCAAGAAGCTGGAGCAAATCCGACACTGGTGACCTCGGAGACTTTGAAGCTTCCAAGTTTTGAGCCACAGAAGTTGGCAGCTTGCTCGGAGACTTTGAAGCTTCCAAGTCTTGAGCCACGGAAGTTAGCAGCTTGCTCGGAGACATTGAAACTTCCCGAAACTCCTCCAGCGACAGTGATCACCGAGACTGTGAAGCTTCCGAGCTTTGAGCCGGACAAGGCGTTTGACAACTTGCTGGCGGATTTTGCGTTCCTTCCCTCGATCACAAGAGAAGCTCCTGCGAAAGGATTTGCAGCTCCACAGCAAAACAAGCCACGGATAGTTCAAGAGGAAGTAGCGAAGGAAGACACAGCGATGAAGAAGAGCAAAGCAAGCTACAAAATAGAAGTTCCTGTGGAAGGATTTGCTGGAGGATTTGCTGCTCCACAGCGAAACGAGCCAGGGACGTTTCAAGAGAATGGCAGCTCCTCTCGGGAAGAAATAGCGATGCCCATGCCCGCCAAGAAGAAGAACAAAACAAGCCTCAAGGATGTGGTTCGCAACTTACTGTAAATTATCATGTGTTTAATTAATCCTGATTATGTAACTGGTTTAGTATAACAACGGATTTAATTTGGATAATGCGGGAGAATCTTATCCAACGGCTCGTGGCTACGCCACGTGGCATTTTAAAACTTTTCCTTGGTGTCTACGTCACTTCTAGCAGTGCTAGTGCTACTGTTTGGTGGATTGACCTCAAGCGATCGGCGCGGAGGATCCTCTTTGGGTTTGGGTATGATGCTAGGAGTTCGCTAGATCAGACCGAGAGCTAGTTTAATTGGAGGAATTGGATACAGGGCTTTGGATCGATCGACTTGCAGGATCGGTAATGGCGACGGCGCATGAGAGACGTGTGGGAGTGGCCATGGATTTCTCCGAGGGCAGCAAGGCCGCGCTGAAATGGACAGTGGAGAATGTGGTGCGCGGGGGCGACTACTTGATACTCTTCATGGTGGTGAAGACTGAGCTCGAAGGGAAGTCGCAGCTCTGGGAGCAAGGCGGATCACGTAAGCCCGCGATTTCTCATTCTTCTTCTTTTCTTTCTAAAGTGATCGCTGTGGCTTGTGATAGCTCTGATCCCCCTGTGCGATCTGGGCGAAGGGCAGATCTTGAAAGGCTATGGCGTCACTCCAGACGCGGAAGTCGTGACGCTTCTGGAGCAAGTCGCGCGAGAGAAAAATGCACGTACACATCTCCTCGATCGATCGATCGATTCATATATGTGTGGGTTTTGCTAATGCTTTGCACTGTCGCTCTGCCAGATCGTGGTGGTGGGAAAGGTCTACTATGGTGATCCTCGCGAGAAACTTTGCGATGCTGCCACTGATTTCCCGCTGAGTTGCATGGTCGTGGGAAGCCGCGGCCTCGGCCCTCTCAAACGGTAAGAGACCATCTCCTATCCTGGAAGATCATAGATCACAGATCACAGACACGCTACGTGAGAGAGAAAGAGTGATCATATCTATCCATGACCGACGGGTTTGTGATTGTTTCTTGGATCAGTGCAATCCTGGGGAGCGTCAGCAACTACGTGGTGAACACCGCCCAGTGCCCAGTTACGGTGGTGAAGCACTAGATCAAGACCATTGTTATAGAACGCGTTCTCGATCGTTAAATCGTTAAACGCAGTGCCGTATATGGCGTATTTCTTTGAAGATTCTCTTCGCAGATTTAAGGCAAGAAGATCTTTGCCCTACGACCCCCATGATTACATTGAAGCATGTCACCTCCTCCAGCAAAGAAGGTAAGTTTGTATTGTTTCCATCGTCTGCTCGCAAGCAATGAACGAAAGTTAACGCATTGGATGATCGCCAGAAGAAGAGCGGGGGGAGGAAGAAGATCCCAATCAAGTTCATCACAGACCCCGAGGCGAGGAAGAGCTGCTTCAAGAAACGCGTCGGGGGCCTGTTCAAAAAGGCGTGGGAGATCAATCTCCTGGCCAACCCCGTGGTGGAGCTTTTAGTCTACCACGAGGAGACGAAGAAGTTCTACCGCTTTGTCAGCACTGACGGGGAGCCCGACTTGAAGCTCTTGCCGGCGTCCATGGCGAGGGTGATCAAGCAGCATCGCGAGGAGATGAATAATGCAAACGCGTCTGGAGAGGATCGAGGCTCGCCTGATCCAAGCTCGCCCTCGACAGATACTAGCGCTTTGGAATCGAGCTCGAGCCAAGGAGCGGGCAACGACGAGGAGTGCGATGATGATGATGATGAGGAGGAGGAGGAGTGTGAGGATTGGCAGCAACTGTTTATGGAAGAAGAGAATTTGCAATTCCAGGGTGGTGGTGTCTTGCAACCTCAAGGACAAGAACAAGACCATGAGTTTGGGAGCAATAACACGCAAGTTGATCCAATGCATCACATCAAACTGGAGTCCGGAGATATCCAAAACCTTGACAACGTTGTCCTGGATGGATTCGACGTGAATGAGTGGCTTCTGGAGGGCCCAAGTCAGTGAAAGCATCAGGACTCTTCTTCTGTCTCATGTTTTAAGTACATGTTTTAAGCTACGGCGATAGACTTTCAAAGGCAGACTAGCCAACGTGGTGCTATTCACGTCGTGCGATCTCCCGAGCAAGAATCCTGTGCTTCTTGTTGGGTGGCCCGTAGATTTCAAAGCTCCGGGAACGAATAAAGAATGCCTCCCACGCGCCTCACGCGATCCATCAGTTGAAAAACACTGGAGATCACAGCTTACCAGCAGTAGATCATGTCGCTGGAGCTCGCGGAGGCCAGGAATGGCCGCTGCTCGAGCAGCCACCAAGATGGAGTAGCAGCGGCCGCGGAGGAGCACACGAATAAGAGTAAGAAGAACTCCCTGTGGAGCAGCTTGAAGCGGAAGAGCCGCCTCTACTGGCTCATGCTCGCGCTCTCCGGCGTCGTCACCGTCGTCAGCACTGTCTCCGCCTTCCTCATCGGCCGCTTCTACTTCACGCAGGGAGGCTCCCGGCGATGGCTGTCCGCCTGGATCCAAGTCGCCGGCTGGCCGCTAAGCGCCTCCATGCTCTTCCTCCAGAAAACCAAGAGCCTGCGTGAGACCCTCTCCATCTCCCGCAAGCTCGCCTCCGCCTACGTCGTGCTGGGAGCCATCAACGGCGGAGTTTGCCTCCTCTACGCCTGGGGGATCTCCTACTTGCCAGCGTCCACGAGCTCCATCCTCATCTCCACGCAGCTCGTGTTTACCAGCCTCTTCGCGCTGGTGATTGTCCGCAAGCCACTCTCGCCCTTCATGTGGAACGCCGTGGTGCTCATGACGTGCAGCACCGTGCTCGTCGGCCTCCACTCCAGCTCGGACAAGCCCCCCGGCCTGACGCACTCGCAGTACATCCTCGGCTTCGTCATGACGCTGGCGGCGGCGGTGCTCTTCGGCCTCCTCATCCCGCTGTTCGAGCTCGTCACCAAGAACTTGATGGCCTCGTCCAGCTCGGCGGTGGCGGAGCTCATGACCTTCGTCAACATCGTCGCCACCGTGGTGCTGTCCATCGGGATGGCCATCAACGGGGACTTCTCGCGGATCTCGGCCGAGTCGCGGGTGTTTAAGAGCGGCCGTGTCTCGTACTTCATGACTTTGTTCTGGAGCGCGGTGCTCTACCAGGTGCAGTATCTGTCCGTGACCGGCGTCGCGATGCTGGCCTCGTCGCTTCTCTCTGGGATCTTGATCACGGCCTCGACGCCGCTGGTTTCAATCTTTGCCTTCTTCTTCTTCCACGACAACTTGGGAGGGGTGAAGATCATGGCGCTGGTTCTCTCCGTCTGGGGGTTCATCTCGTACGCCTATGGAGGATACCTGGATGAGAAATCAAAGGCTCCAATCGCCGAGGATAAAAGTAACGACAGAGAGGAAGTGTGAACATAGCTTCTTTTGACCGATGATAAGAGAATGATTTGTTTTTATTTTTTTGCTTTCGTTCTTTCTGCGTGTCTACCTGCAATGGCCAAAGTCAGACTTCTAGTTGAAGACAGCAAGAACATCACATCGGACTTTCAAGTCTGATGTGAAGTCTTCTGGAAAGAATGCACCAACTTATAGTTTTCCGGAAAGAATGGACCAACTTACAAGGTTACGAGGCTTGCTGGGCAGTTTTTACGTTAGATGATTTCTCGACATCGGCCGCAGAGTCCTTCTCCGCGGCCACGGCGGCCGATTCTGCCGCGGAATGGTAGCCCCTGCTCTCCAGTTCTTTCAGGAACAGCTCAGTCTGGCGCTCATCGATCCGGTATGGAGTGTGAGCGGCAGAAGGGAAGCGACCGCTCAAGACCTCGTCACGGTAATCTGCGAGACCTTGCTGTATAACATCTCCCACTTTTGCGTATTGCTTGCAGAATTTCGGGGTCATCTTGAACGAGCAAAGAAAACTTTGAGCAGAGAAGAAAAAGATTAAAAAACAGTATTACCTTTCTGTGGTGAGGATGCTGCATCATTCCCAACAAGTCGTGATAAACTAGAACCTGCAATGGAAAAAAAAGCGTTTCTTCCTTTGTAAGTTTCCGAGCGACGAACGTTAAGTTTCTTATAAACCTGGCCACTGCAGAAAGGCCCAGCTCCAATGCCGATGGTTGGTATCTGCAAGGACGAAGTGATGGCAGCAGCCACTGGCGATGGTATACACTCGAGAACCGTAGCAAAACATCCGGCAGCTTCCAAGTGCAAAGCTCTCTCCAGCACCTGGATGTTTTACGAATCGCTGCTAGCAAAACAAAGAGAGAAAACGTTGAATACCTGGACCGCATCAGAGGAACTCCGTCCTTGAGGCCGGAATCCGCCAAGAACACTGATCGACTGTGGAGTAAGGCCGACATGTCCCATGACTGCAATGCCGGCCTCGCAAATGGCCTTGGCTGCAGCTACTCGAGAAACGCTACCACCTTCCAGCTTGATCGCGTCCATCCCTCCCTCCTTGAGCATTCTTACGGCATTCTCGACAGCCTAAGAGAACTAAACCAAGTCTAGAAAAAGAAGAAACTTAGAGACCTGGTCGGAGCTTAGCTCGTAGCTCCCAAAAGGAAGATCCCCAACGAGAAAAGCTCTATTTGCTCCTCGCTGCACAGCTTTACAATGCGTGAGCATGTCGCTCATGGTCACGGGCAGCGTGGTATCGTAGCCATGGACAACCATCCCTGCGCAAATTGGAGATACCATTTTTTCTCCCATCGATCACAAGAAAGAAGAAAAGCTTACCGGCAGAATCCCCAACTAGGCAGATATCGATGCCAGCCTGATCGACATGGACGGCGCCAGGGTAATCGTAGGCCGTGACCATGGTGATCGGCTCCTTGGCGGCATACTTGGATTGCAAATGCCGCAGCGTGACCCTTGCTGATAGAGATTGCGGCTTGGGGCCGCCGTAGACGCGATCATCGGGCGTGTGTGCGAAGCCACGCCGCAAAGATCGAGCGCAAGCTCCAGCTATCCTCTTCCGGATCATCCTAAACCCTAAATCTTATTGGGCTAGGCAAGTACACATTGACTTTTATTGACTTTTACTTTTATGCCTTTACACTTTGAAAAAGTGTATGAGCAAGGAGTTCACTTCCTCGGGCGAGTCTTCCTCCACGAAATGGCCGCCAGGAAGAACAGCAACGTCGACGAGGTTGGGGACGTCTCGCTTCATTCCACCGCCGGTCACGTACTCCTCCAGCCCCGGGAACTTGCGCACGTAGTCGTCTTTGCCAATGATGTAGAGGCAGCGGCTCGTCACCGGCATGTTGATCCAGGGCGCCATGAGCTCGAACTTCCTGCGCCAAAAATCGATCAAACTCGATCCAGAAAATGCAAAGAATTCTTACCTCCTGTTATCGCGATACGTGAAGCAGAGCGGGCACTCGAAGCCGGACTTCTCGTAGAGCTCGGACTGGACTTTGATGAAATCCTCGGTGAGCCAGCTCGGGATGGCGTCCGAGGTAGTGACCAAGTCCATGATCTCCTCGTCGGGCCCGGCGATCTGGAGCTCGGACCGGCAAAAGAGCGTGTAGATGTTCTTGAGCACGGTGGCCGTGTCGAATCGAGCGAAGTCTTTCTCGGCTCGCCCAGGTACCTGGAAAGAATGATGTAGAGCTGTGAGCTCAAAGTTGGAGCAGTGATTCACGGACTTACACCAAAACGATTCACGTAGAATCCTTCTTCCGGGGGGACTCCAAATCCTCCTAAGGGAATTCCAAGCGAAGCATAAGCTCTCACGAGATCCGGCCTCATGCGACACAAGTTCCATCCGGTGAAAGCTCCAACGTCATGACCCACTACGAACACCTGCGATGGAGAGAGGATTTAGAAAACTAGAAAGGACGGGGTAAAGGAGAACGTACTGGATCTCCTCCAAGAGCATAGATGAGACCCACAATGTCTCCCACCAGATCCACAGGCGTGAGCTTGAAGTTGCCGGATGAATCCCTGGGACACTCGGTGAGACCATAGCCTCGCAAGTCTGGAGCAACGGCGTGGAATCCAGCGTCCGCCAGCGCCTTGAGTTGGAACCTCCATGTATACCACGTCTCGGGGAAGCCATGGAGCAGCACCACAGTCGGCCCTCCTGATCGATCATGTTCGCAAAATCATCTTTTGCTTCTTCGTTTCTTTGATTGCCTTACCTGACCCCATCTCCGCGATATGCATCTTGATGCCATTTGTGTCAATCACGCGGTGCGTTGCTCCTTCCGCCATAGCCGTGAAAGAATGCAAGAACTGTTTGCTCTAAGATTCCACTTTAAGTCCAAGACAAAATCGTTTTTTTTCATTGCCACAAAGTCAAAAGGTTAAAACGAATCTTCATGCTCAAGGTTCTCGTCAGGGAGTTGAGCACTCGTTTCAAGTTTTTACTGTGTTAGTTACGTTTGGTTCATTTCCATAGAAGGAAATTTGAGCCGCTCCTCATATTTCTCGCTCTTTTCTTTTGCCTTGCGGTATTTGCGAGCAATCTCCTCTGGAGCATCATAAAAAATTCCAGCTCATGTCGACGAGACTCACAATGCTTCCCACAGATAAACTCCTTGAGACCAAAGCCGATGTTTTGAGTTGGAACCTTATACCACGTTAAAAGCAATTCTTTTTTCCTTCCTTTTGTGCTCTGTGATATTGGTGTCGATCTTGCTCCTTCCGCCATGGCCGTCAAGAACAAGAACTCTTTGCTCTAAGATTCCACTGCAGAAAATTCTTGTTTTCACTGCCAAAACAAACAAAACGAAACTCTTTAGCTGGTAACTGTGTTACTGGTTCGCTGGGGATGTAGAAGAGGCCACAGTTGAGCCGGGACGCCGGCTGCCCGTCCAGCCTTTTCTTCCAAAAACTCGCGGCTACGCCATGCCTGAAGCGCATCAGCGGGGCTCCAGTTGGTCACTCGACGGCCGACGAGAACCTTGAGCATGGCATCGAAGTAGCGTTTGGCTTCGGTTCCCAGTGGTCGACTCGCAGAGGTGCTGGGCATTTCATAGCCCTGCTGCAGGCTGCATGAACAAGAGTTCGAGCATGAGAGACGAGCTAAAGAAAACTTTCTTACGTGTAGAAGAAGAAGCGGCCGACTGGATGGAGGCCGTCCGGCACCTTCATGCCCTCCAGAGCCATCTTCTTTTTCCACATCGCGAACTGGAACAGTACTTCTTCTTGAGTAGCGCTTGGAGTGAACTTCTTGGGATTGACAGGAGCTGCCTTCTCTGGAAAACCTGTTCACGGAGAAAATGCCAATTGGGAAAAGCAATGGCACAACTTACATTTCAAGCTCTTCGAAACAATCCTTTGGTGTCGGACCTGCACGAAGCCGTCTATCTCTAGAACTCCGTAGTACCACCGGTTCTTATCTTCGGCCTGGAAATCTCCACAAGTTAGAGCCACATTTATGAAGCAGAAGAACATACCATGATGTAAACCGGCCGCCGGTAATCTTTCGAGAGTGCTGCCGTCTCGCGGAGCTCATCTATGGCATACATCGCAGGCTGGAACAGATCCTTGATCCCAGCCTTGGTCTTCCATTCCTTGACGAACTTCAGCTGCTGGCCACGCACGGTCTGGACGCTCTTGAACACATGCAGCAGCACGACGGAAGAAGAAGCGAGAGTCGCACACTGTGCAACGTCCTCCTCTTCATCCTCTGACGACAACTCCGGATCCGGATCGACGAGGAGCTCCTCGTTGTTTGCGTACTTGATTGCAAAGCCTTGCTTTCTATCGGGCTCTTTCTTGCTGTATATGGCAGCTTTCTCCGGCCCGGGTCTCGTAAAACGGCCGAGGTTGCGCGTCATCCTGTCGAGAATGGGTGCCTCGGAAGGGTCCTCGCCTTGAAAGGTAGTGGAGTAGAGCACGTCCGAGGTAACAAGGTCGCTAATGCACCTCAGGGTTTCGTCACGCATCTCGGTTACGCAAAACCTGCGAGAAGGTTTGAAGTATCCAACAGCGAATAAAGAGCACGGACCGATCGTAAATGGGCATTGTCCTGCAAAACGAGACCAAGCCAAAGCGCTGCCAGAACTCTTGCTCCTTGATTTCGCATGGTGTTTTGGCAAACAGCTCGTCACTCTTATCCTTTCCCTGGAGCTGGTTGACAAGGGCTTCCAGCTACAGAGATACGAGAGCTTCATGAGAAATCTGACTGACTATCCCACACAAATTACCTCCTTGTCGGACAAGTTCGTGATTTGCTGGAGAAACCTTTGGCGCTTGCTCGGCCTTCCTTCGTAATCCTCGTAATCTTCATCAGATGACATATTTGACAAGTTGACCTAGGGTTGCCCTTTTTATGACCTAGGGTTTTTTTCATTTAAATAGTAATTTATATATTTAACTCGTATATAAAACATTTCTAAAATATTAATTCTAAAATGAACTATATTTATTTCTTTGGAACCAGGTTTATATTTTCAAAGACTAAATTTTTTGGTCGGGTCAATCCCAGTTGGATGAGTATAACTGGAAAAATTGGGAGTTTCCAAACTCTATTCTTCCAAGCTATGGCTCTAAGATTCTTCCAAGGTTCCATCCTTTACTTTTATGAGCTTCTTAAACTAAGCTGATGCTGGGGAAGTTACTGGGTAAATCCAGGATGTTGGAAGAAGAAGAAATCCTTGTCCAGAAATATGCCAAGTGCGGCAAGGTTGACGAGGCTCTTGAGATTTTTTCACAGGCTTGCGGATCCCAGTGTTGCGACATGGAACCTACTGGGCGCTGGGTATGCACAGGTCGGGCAACTCAAGAAATCTAGGCAAATCTTCGAAGAAACACCGAGGCGCGATGTAATCTCGTGGACTGTTATGGCGTCTGGGTTTGCCATAAACGGTCACATTGACGCTGCCAGGCTCACATTCGATCTGATGCCCGCGAGAAGCACAGTTTCATGGAACTCAATGATCAAAATCTATGCCGACGATGGGCAATTGAAAGAGGCAAATTGGCTTTTCGATCACATGCCACATCCAAACACAGTTTCGTGGACATCTCTCATGTCCGCAAATGCCCAAAAGGGGCATTATTTGCAAACGAGGACTCTGTTTGACCGCATGCCACAGCGCGACATGGTGACGTGGACGATGATGGTCACGGCGTACGGGAAAGCGGGGTGCGTTGACCAGTCCGCGTCAGCGTTTGACAGGATGAGCTGGCGAGACATGGTAACGTGGAATGCCATGCTACACGTCTATGCCGCGAATGGGTGTCTTGACAGGGCCGTTGCTACATTTGGCCAGTTACCGCAGCGCAGCGTCATTGCTTTAAACGCAATTATCCACGCTTTCTTCGAATCTGGAAGAATTGAGCAAGCAAAGTCTATGTTTGATCAGATGAGCCACCGAAACAACATCACTTGGAACACCTTGTCTCAATCATATGCCCAAAGAGGAGATATGCACACTACAGCTGCTATACTTTCAAAGATGCCCCAACAGGACGTTGTGACATGGACTGCAATGATCCACCACCTTGCAGAGTCCGATCGTCTCGACCAAGCGCGAGAAATGTTCGATCGAATAACAAATCCAGACGCAGTGGCCTGGAACGCAATGCTTTCAGCATATACCCAGTCAGGGCATCCGCTAGAGTGCCTCAATCTCTTCCGGGAGATGGCGTTGCGAGGCACGGCCGTTCCCACAGACTACACATTCTCGATCGCCCTCGACGCCTGCGCGACGCTGTCCGCCCTCGCCGACGGGAGAATCATCCACGCTCTCCTCCCGAGCTCGAGCCTCGCCTCAGTGGTGGTGAGGACGGCGCTCGTCAACATGTACAGCAAGTGTGGGAAGCTGGACGAGGCGAGAGCGGTGTTCGACGGCGTCGAGGAGCAAGACCTTGCGAGCTGGAACGCCATGGTCGGGGCATACGCGAGGAACGGGCATGCGCTCGAGTCTCTGGCGCTCTTCCAGTCCATGGAGCTCTGCGGTATGCCGCCGGACGAGACGAGCTTCATGAGCGTCCTGGGGGCGTGCAGCCACGCCGGGCTGGTGAGGAGGGCCTACGGCTACTTCGCGGCCATGCCGCGCGACTATGGCGTCACGCCGGACGTGGAGCACTACCGGGCGGTGCTGGACGTGCTGGGGCGGTCGGGGAGGCTTGGGGAGGCCGAGGATCTCATCGCGAGCATGCCGTTTTGGCCGGATGGGCTGTCGTGGACGACGCTGCTGGGCGCTTGCAAGGGGCACGGGGACGTCGAGCGCGCGGAGAGGGTGGCAAGGAATGCGCTCGCGCTTGTTCCGGAGCATCCCCTGGCTTATGTGCTCCTCTCTAACATCCAAAAGGCTGGTGCCGAGTTCCAGGACGATCTGGAAGAGGATTCATAGTGCCATGGTATAGCTGATGGGAATTTTCGACGCACATTCTTTAGAGACAATTATCGCTAGATTGGCAGATCCCAAGCAAACCATGAGGATGCCACAGTGTCCATCAGGCAATGGCGATGCTTTACTCTTTGAAGAAGCGTATGAGCAGGGAGTTCACTTCCTCAGGCGAGTCGTCGCCATTGGAGCTGATACATTATAAAAATTAACCCTTTGGGCGATCATTTTTCTAAAGATCACGTCTAAGTAAACCTCAACAATGAAAAACACAATTTATATTTGTAAAAAAAACTTTTAGTAGTATCGTTTGGCACCCATAAAAATGCAATGTAAGGCTCCAGATTTTGGCAGTGATTACTATTACCTTTAAATTTCATTGTGAATTTTAATTGACTTGCAACTGCGTGTGAAACGCAAGCGAAAACAGTCAATCTCACCACACAAAATTCCAGCATGGAAAGTGAAGTGCCATGTCACTCGTAGCCCGGCCTATCACAGCGCCTTATCTTCCACCCCCTTATCTCTCCCCTGCAATCCAAACAGCTTACCTTATAGAAACAGCGTCCACTTTCTCGCTATCTTTCCTTCGCTGGAAGCTCTACCAAAGGGGGCGATGGCGGCCACTTCTTTCCTGGGATCTCCAGCTCTACTCAAGCCACAAACCACTTCCCAGGCCAGCACTGCGGCTCCTCTCAAGACCAACTTGGCGATCAAGGCAGCTCAAGGCAAAGACGAGAAGAGAAGCAGGAGAAACATCGTCGGGATTGCAGCAGCTGCGTTGCTCGTTGGAGGATTGCTGTCCGGCGAGCAAGCCAAGGCCGGGCTTGTGGAAGATCTTCTCGCAAAGTCTGCTGCTAATAAGGTATGTCGCGTCGAGGCTGCTTGTATAGATCTTACTCGCGAGAGATATCTGGCTGCAGGAGCTAAATGATAAGAAGCGATTGACAACGAGTGGAGCGAACCTGGCCCGTGCCTACACAGTCGAGTTCAATACTTGCAGGTTCCCATACAACTTCACCGGCTGCCAAGATCTCGCGAAGAAACAGGTACGGTAGTAGCGAGCTTGAGCACAGCCTTGAATATGCTGCGGCTTTTTTTCTTCTTCCAGGATGTCAAGTTCTTGAGCGACGATCTGAAGCTCGAGTGCGAAGGCAAAGATAAGTACAAGTGCGGCTCCAATGTATTCTGGAAGTGGGGGAAGTAAACGCATGAAATGGAAATCTTACGAAAAGTTGATCCAGTCTTGTTGATTGTTCAAAAACGGAGAAAACAAATCGACCATTGCTGTGAAGTATAGATTGTGATCCTGTATAAAAAAAGAACGAAAAAAGAAAACGAGTAAATGAGTATGAGATTAAAATGATTCTTATGTACTTCCGTATTACGTCTATATACAAATTGACTACACCGCTTCCGCGTTTCCCGTCGCAGGGATGGTTTTGGAACAAACGTTTCCCCTGCACAAGGGGCACACCCTGCATTAAGTAAGAACAAAAGAGTTAGAATAAGACAAGCAAGAAAAGGTCCTCTCTCATTTATTTACCTATGAACTTCTTTGAGCCACTTGTCGACACAGGCCTGGTGGTACTCATGTTGACACGGCAGAACCCGGATCTGATCCCCTTCCTCATATTCCACCAAGCATATGTGACACCTGAAGCGCACGGCGATCTGTGTGTTATTCGACGCGCAAAACTTTATCCTCAAGGACTTACTGTGCAGCTTCCTCGGCCTTTTTGTAAGAACGAACCGGGATCGAATTCACTACTGTATCTGGAGCAGGAAGCAATGCCAAAGGCATACTCGCAGACTGCGACAGTGCTACTGATTGCCTGTGGATCTCGTCAAGCACCTGAAGCAGTAACAAAAATCTCAGCTTGAAATCAAACGAAAACAAAAGGCAACAAAATGGACGAATGAAAGAATGCTACGAACCTCGAATAGTGCTTCCGCAAGCATGATAATGCGTGAGATGCTTGCTCTCGTGCTAGAGTCTTCACTGGCTTGAGTTTCACAGGAACAGTGGCCATTAAACTGCCCAGCGGCAGGACAGCTTCTTTCGTGGCCATGAGAAATTTGGAGACCCCCGCTAAGTCGTTGCAGCGCCCAAACCTGGAAGACGAACACCAAGAACAATAGAAAGAAGTTAAAATCTTACGTGAGAAAAACGAAAGCATGAGAAAAAATAGAAAGAGAGAGCTTTTCTTACATGTGAACGAACGTGTCGTCTTCGTTCTTCCCAGTCCATGGCTCTGTCACCTTCCGTGTGCTCGGCATCGGACGAGCTCCTCCAGTGTTGAAAGTTCCAGCGGCTGGTGGAGGAGCCATTGTCATCGATCTCCTCGATCGCCACAATGGTGATAGGAGCGGTGCTGCGTCGGTGCGATGCCGCCCTCGTCAAGGCGTCCCAGAACCTCCTCCCACTGTTGCGTCGCGACTCTCGCCCGGAGTGATCCACGGCACGCACGAGATCGACGGGGATCTCGTCGAAAAACTGGTTGGAATCACGAGCAAGTTGCTGTGGAGTTCGCTGCCTGGTAGTAGCTTCGCTGGAAGGAGGAGGATTTTCCACGGCGAGCGGAGAAGAAGAAGAGGACGATGACGACGACGACGATGACCCAGTAGCCTGTTCTTCATCGCCTGACCTGTCCAACTTATCGAGTTCTTCGTCACTGTCCAGCCCATCCTCTTTGTCCTCGTCAAAAGACGACGCGATTGATCTCGCGGCTGACGAGCTCTGGGGATTCTCGACCTCGACAATCACCGATTCACGAGCCTCCCGGCCTCTCTCGGAGCACGAGCATCCGGGGGGACGATCCGTGGACTCCATGCTGCTAGATCCCCTGGAAATTTCGATCTGTATCTGATCCCTACCCCGCGATCCACCATCCCTAGGAAGAGAGGAGCCCTCATCGAGCCGAAATATCGCAGCGCCATCGCTCCCGGACGAAATTCCTGTCTGCCGGCCGCGAGACACCCTTCCCTGCGAGGCAAGACACCAAGAAAATCACTCCCCGGGCACCAAGAGAACGATTTTGCGGCACGCGATCGAATCAAGAAGAGAGAATGGAGGAGCAGCAAAGGAATCATCCAAGAAAGAATCAAAGGAGGAAGAAAAGAAGATCACTAGACCTCGGATTGGTTGCGGCAAGCATCAGATGCATGGCCTCGCTCCCTTCTGCTGGAGCGCAGCCTAGAAGCATCAAGATTTCTGCTACTACTGGATCCCATACCTCGACTATAACACCGACCTCGAGCTGGAGCTAGGGCGCCCTAGAGATCCAAGAGAAATCACCGCCTCTCCCTATCTGCCTCACAGATTATCAGGAAATCCCCCGGCGCAGCCACATTCCAATCAGTCGCCCCGACCACAACAAGACGACGCCGACGGCGAGGAGGAACAAGCTCGAGACATCATAGCCACGGGCAACCGGGCAGGCTAACACGGTGCGTGTGGCCATTATTGGTGGTGGCCCGGCAACGGGCAGCGGGCAGCAAACGCCATGTGAATCCAATATTCTTTTGACTTTAGTGGCCCCCGATTAAATCTTTTCCTTTTCGCGGATAAGCACGATTCTTAGCACCCCGGACGTCCCGGGTTCGAATCCCAGCCCTCTTTCAATCTATCGAGAACAAAATTTTCAGCTCTTTCGCTCGGAAAAACAATGCCATCCTTGTACAAATTTTTTGGTTTGTCAGTAAAAGAAACAAAGACAAGATCTTTCCCCCTCGAAGAACAAAGAACAGCTATATACTCAAACTTTTTTCTCGCCGCGTTGTTGTGGTTGGATCATCCATCACTCTCGCTCTCTCTCTCAAATCTCTTCTTTCATATCTTACACCAGTCGGTCAGATCAGATCGCTAGCAGCAGCAAAACGCAAATTTTGAGGAGCAAAATCAGAAAACCCGTGTCAAATCCTTTCACCCTTCCCTGTGTTGTGTGTGTGTTCTTCCTTTTTTCCTCTTTCCTTCCAAGTTCCAGCTCGCTTTCCTATAGAGAAATTTTTTCCCTCTCATCAGCGCTTGTGAGGCCGCTCTCTCGTGTCAACAATCTCCTCCTCGTCCTCCTCGGTTCCTCTACTTCGCTTCTTCCGCGAGGATCCTGTCGCCGCTACTGTCGTGGCTACTGCTGCCGCGGTTGTTATTGTTGTGGTGGTGGTCGCGGTTGCTGTCGCGGGGGTGTCGTCCGTGGTGGGAGTCTCCTCCTCGTCGAATTCCTCGTCTTCCTCCTCGTCTCCTTCACCCGGCTCGAAGTCGCTCGCGCCCTCGTCTTCCTCTTGTTGCATTATCGGTTGCACGAGATAGTCCGTTCCATAGTCTTCCTCGACCTGGAATCGAAACACGAAACCCATCAGAGGAATGAAGGAAACGAAAAAAAAAAACCAAGTTTTGCAAGCTGCTATCCGAGACCGAGTGAGATCCACAAGCCCATGCAGCAAAACCCAAAGCAAACAATGGAAAAATAAGATTTTTACCTCTTCTTCCTCTTCCTCCTCCTCGTCCTCCTCTTCGTCGTCGTCATCGTCCTCGCCAATCTCCCCGTTCTCATCCTCCTCCTGGATCTCTACATCGCCCTCAGCGGCAGCCATCGGCGGAGCCGCCACTCCTCCTCCTCCTCCCACCCCTCCCGGCGCTTGCTCCAGGAGCTCCTCCTCGTCCTCGCCATCTTCATCCTCCTCCTCCTCCGCCGCCAGCTCCTCATCACTGTCATGAACATCGTGAACCTCGACCACGTTGTCTCCATCTTCGTCCTCCTCGTCCTCCACTTCCTCGTAGTCGGACCCATTCTCCTCGTCCTGCCCGCCACTGGCAGTAGCAACGGCGGCGGCACCGCCGCCGCCAACACCACCAGCAACCCCGCCCGAAGCGCCACCGGCGGAGGCAGCCAACTCCTGGAAGCTTTCCTCTTCCTCTTCCTCGTCGAGCTCTTCATTCTCGCCGCCATCTTCTTCGTCTTCCTCTTCCTCGCCATCCTTAGAAGAGGAGAGATTCGGTGGCCTTTGCCCGTTTGCATGCTTTTGGTGGCCGCCGAGATCCTCCTCGTCTACGCCCTCGCTGTTAGCATCCTCCCCATCCTCCTCCTCGGACTCCTCCTCCTCGGACTCGGGCCTCTCGTTGTTGTCCGCGTCCACCTTGTCGAGATACTTGAGCGTCTTGATCATCCCAAACACCTGGGCCCTGTAATTGGGGACTTTGGTCACCGGGCACTCGTAGAGATCGAGCGAGACGAGCCTCAGCCGGGTGAGCGGCGACAGATCCTCGAGGCTGTGAATCTTGTTGTTGGACAGGTCGAGATCCCGGAGCGAGTGGAGCCCCGCCTCGACCAGATGATCCAGGCCACCAGCAATGCGATTGTCGCTGAGCGAGAGCTGCTCCAGGCGCGCGAGGCGCGGGAAATCGGCCAGCGTCGAGATGCCCGTGTTGGCGATGGAGAGCGTGGTAAGCTGGATGAGCTGCTCGAGGAGAGACCTGGGTGGGAGGCGGCCCTGCGAGCACTTAACGCAGCCGTCGAGCATGAGCGCCTGTGCTGTGGATGGATCCTCGCCGCCCAGCGCCGTCTCCACGGCGCGCTGCCATGCCTCGTCCATCCACAAACCCTAGAAAATCTCACACCGAGAGGCGCTCTCTCCTCTTCCTCTCTCCTTCCAATCCCTGCGCACGATTTCTAGCCCTAGCCTAGAGCGCCAGGACTCTCGATTCTCCTCTCCCTCTCCTCCACGGCCCCTCCTCCCTTCTTTTCTTGGCAGCAAAGAAAGGAAAGAATGCGCCCGCTAGCAAGAACGTTCTTTGGAGCGATCGCCAGGGCCGCAGCGGTGATCGCCCGAGATCGCCCAAGAACGCCCGCCCCAGCCCTAGCTAATCGGCCGGGAAGTTTTCCCGGCGGGTCTGACCGACACGTGGCGGGCGCGGCAGGGGAGCCGTTGGATCTGTGCGTGCCGGGGGATATTCCTTGCGCACGAGGAAGATGCTTGCTAGTTTATTATAGGTAGGTCTAACGAAAGCTTTAGATTTGTCTGAGAGAGGGGAAAAAATTTTAGCAGCAGGCAGACAATGCCAGAGATTTTTTTTGGAGCCCCTGGATCGAACGACCGAGTTGGATCGAGCAGCGCAAAAATTCGAGGAGGGAATGAAAGCTCTTACCTCTCTCGAAAGAAGAAATGGAAGGTTCGTCTAGGTGATCACGACCGTGATCTCCCCCTTGTCCAGAGCATCGTAGAACTCGTTCACCTGGCGGCGATAGTTTACGTGCCACATTTTCCACACAGCGCCCACTGGAAAAAAACAACCGGAAAATCGAAAATCAATCGAGAAACGAGAAATCGATAAGCTAAGATCGAGAAAATCGGTGAGCTGAGCTAGAGATGAAACGCTTACCCATCAATCCCAGGCCGAGCCCGATGCAAATCTCCCGAGTGACAAAGGCGGGGTCGTCAGCCCTCCGCCCGATCACTTGCTTGACGCCGTGAGAGACTTTGCGCGAGCCGGTCTCCACAGCCTTCTTCACAGCAGCTCCGGCGGCCATTCTTCTTCCTTCTTCCTTTCCTCACACCCTAAGCGAAAGAAGAATGAATCACTGTTAATATAAAACGATGCGATTAATGATAAATTAAGCAGATGTTTACCATAACCACGCGTTCATCGTCGCTTATCAATGGAGCAAGAGGAATGGTGGCTCCTAGAAATCAGGGGAGTATAAAAATCGAACGAGAGAGACAATAATGGACAGACCTTGAATTTGGCATGGCATGCTTGAGTTCGATCCATTTATCTCTGAAAGAAGAGCTTTTTTTTTTTAAGATCATAACATTTCTAGCATTTCTAGCTAAACTTTCGAAGGTAGAGGTACCTGGAAATTTTTCTTCGAAGCCATCTCCCAAGCTCTCAAGAAGAAGAACTTCTCTCCAGCTCCAAGAGAAATGCTGAAAGACAGCCAAAACCCCTGCCGATAAGATCGATCGCAGCGAAACAAGATCTCTCGCAACCTCTTCTCTCTGAGAAATGCTGAAAGAGAGCGAAAACCCCTGCCGATACGATCGCTCGCAGCGAAACAAGATCTCTCGCTTGTGAATCTTCCATACCTTCATCGGAGCCATGAAAGAAATCCCAGCGCCGCGCGCGAGATCGACGCGCCCGCTGATGCCGCGCGAGCGTCGCGCACGAACAAACGAAACAATCGCAGCTCGACCTAAAGAAAGCACCGCCACGCGTGGATTTGAAAATCCATGCAAAGAAGGTAAGGTAAAAACTCTCTTTATTTACTCGTGGTGAATCCTCCAGGAAAATCACTCTAGCGGTAGCATCACTTCGTTTGTTCTTAGAAATCCGGGCGTCCATGGCGGATTGTATCGCGCGAGGATGTAATCGCCTGCGATCTTATAGCCCGCCGCTGCCAGATTCTTGCGCAAGAGCTCCACCTTGTTCTTCACCAGATCATCACCGGCGACGCCAGTGAATCCCAGGACCCCGAACTTCTGCTGTGGAAGAGGAATCACGCGCACTCGCTCGTCCACCGGGCGAGGAATCGACTCCATCGTCAGCCCAGACGGCAGCACGAATTGCATCGTCACGCGGCCATCGCTCTTGCTCTCGATCACCGGCGCATTCGCAATCGCGTCTCCACTCGACGATTGCTTCGTGATCACTGGCGCCGTCATGGCGATCTTCTGCGCGGGCTCGTTCTTGGGCTTGCCCAGCGCGCCGATGTAATCAGCCAGGATCGAGAAGCCGCCATCGCGGCCGCTCCTCATCTCCGCCGGATCGTAGCTCACCTCCGCGACGATGCGCGGCGCGTAGTCTCTCACCTCGAATCCATTCTCCTTCGTGACAAGCTCGTACTTTGGTGTCTCCACGCTGATCTTCCCCAGCACCATCCCCATTCTCTTTTGCCCTCTCTAGCTCTAGAGAAGTTCCTTGCCGCCATAGCTATAAAGCTCTCTTCAAGTGGCTGGGATTGCGCCAAGTCGACGAAGCTACCACAAAGCTCCATGTGTAAAAATTTAAAATCAATCTTTTTAGGGTTTTGGAGCGCTTAGATTTTAGGGCTTTGGAGTGGGATGGATTGGCCCAGGGCGCTCCATCCCTACTACGCATTCCACGGCGCGGCGATCATCTCATACCTCGTGCTCCATCACACTGCGCTGCGATCTGCCGCGCCTTCTGCTCGATCGCGGCTCGAGAAATGGGTAAGATTTTGGCGCTTTGGCTCTTCCCTGTACCAATTCATGTTGTGAACAGGAAATGCAAGCTGCATTGAGCTTGGGGATCGTCCTGGCGATCAGGGTAAGTGTGTTTGTGATGAGCGCTTCCTAATCGGTGAAAAATCGCGAAGTGTGTGAGGCGGATTACGTGGGAGGTGTTCTTGTCGGATGCTCTTTTATACTCCAAAGTAAGCTCTCTCTCTTTTCTCCGTCTCGAGCGTTCTTAAGCTTGTCTCTTTTTTCTTCTTTTTGCCAGGCTTTGGTGGCATTGCTCGCTTTTATGCTGGATTGGAGGCTTCTAGCATGGTACCTAGTTATCTTTGCAAGTATAGAGTCTTCTTCTTTCACAGTTTTCTTCTTCGTTTTTAAGACTGTTTTACTTTTGTGTCCAGTGCTGTTTCTTCTTTGTGTCCAGCCAGCGCCCTCAGATGAAGGTAAGTCGTAGGTGTTGCTTAATCCGAGCTTGTCTAACACTCATGACTTTCTCAGGTAACGTCCTTCCACTCACACCTTTGCAACTAGAAAATCTTCTTACGGACGGAAATCAGAATATCGTTCGACTGGTACGAAAATGCTTGTTCTCTGAAAGGTGATGATATATAATGGCGGCGCAGGTTGAATTCGGAGCTGTATGGTCTCCGCGCTGCGTTCAACTGAGGAGACTCTTCTCCGAAATCTCAGTCAGGTCTTGAGCACTACTTTCCTTACAAAGAAAAAAAATCAATCGTAATCCCGTGGTGGTACAGATACTCGAAAAGCGGTGTGCAGTTTTCACGGATTGACTTGGGACGATTTCCGAGTGTTGCTGCAAAATACGGCATAGAATTTGGAGGTTTCTTTTCTCTAAACAAGCTTTCGTGAATTGACGCGGCTTTTTCCAGTTGCTCTTCGGCAGCTTCCAACGCTGATAGTGTTTGAAGGAGAAAACGAAGTGTGTAGGTTGCCAGAACGAAGCTATGATGGCACATTTTCAGCTCAAAGCTTATCAGAGGTACTCGATTCTCTTCTTTTTACGTTTCCTGAAAAATAACGGCTTTTCATTGCAGAAGAATATCATCCAAAAGTTTGGACTTGACGCTCACATGCTGCAAAGAATGTCTCGTCAAATCCAACTTCGCCAGAGCTTTCAAACTGTGAAGCAAAGCAATTGATTGAAAGGTACTGAAAACATGAGAAAAGTTTTTTTTTGAGCTCTCAGCTATTCCTCGCTTGCCTGATTCTTCAATTCATCCTCGGTTCTTCTAAAGAACACGTCCCATGCACTTCCAGGCCCGGTGTCGAGGTAGTCGAGAGGAACACCGCTAGTGGCAGTGAGATTGGGCTGCACAAGCCCCTCTCTTTCGATAATCCTGAACTCCACTGAAGTAGGCTTGGCCGGAAGCTCGTCGCTTCCTATAGTGAGGCTGCCCAAGCTGCTCAAAGTCTTGCTCTTTAGACCGTCACCTATGGCCTCGAGTTCTTCCCACGAGAATAACAGAGGCAGCGTGGAGCCTTCCCACGGATTGAAGTCGAGCAACTTAACTCGCAGATCCTTCGTCACGTAGACATCAAATGTATAGCTCTCCAGCTCGAACTTTCCCAGCAAACTGTTCTCGAAGAACCCCGAGATCGCAGTCCTCAAGCTGTCCTTGGAGCTGACGAGCGAGGAGTAGAAACCTGTGACTTCCCTCTGGCAGATCCCCAGCAAAGCTCCCCGGCGGACAAACGCTCGAAACTCCATCTCCGGCCTCAGATCATACCACTTGCGCAGAGCCAGCACAAGCTCCTCCGGACGCCCGGTGGAAGAAGACGGCTTGTCGTCGCAGTTGTCAAAGGCGTGGCACAGGTCGTGGACGATCGAGTCGGAGGCCTTGAGCAGCAGCGAAACATCTCCAAAGCTCTGGCACTTGAGGTTCTTGGACGAGCTGATCCAAGTTGCATCCTTGGGAGCACTCCAGTTGAGCTTCGGCATCACTGCTCCTCCAAGCCGCCGGATCGAAGCCTCCACTTCTGCCTCGAGCTCGGGGAAAGAAGGCTGCTGCTGCTGCTGCTCTCCGCCATCTTCCTCGTCCTCTTCATCCCACTTCTCGTATCCGTCAGCCTGTAGCTCTGGGATCTCCGGAACCAGCCTCGATGGAAGATCACTAGAGGGGACGAAGAAGTCGCCGTCCAGGAGGTGCGAGACGAAGGCCTCCGGAAGCCTGTGAATCTCGGTGGCGATGGAGACCGACTTAAACCGAGGATACCACTGCTGGACCTGGCAGTCGAGAACCTCCACCTCCTTCATCGTGAGTAACTATGAACTCTACCGTGTAGTATCCCCTAATACTGTACTTACGAGAACTTTTCTTTCGTTGTTTCAAGCAGCGAAGGATTTGCCACAGCCGCAAGTAGACGTCGCGTTTGGATTCTTGAAAGAAAATCCACCACCGATGAGAGCGTCGCTGTAATCGAGCTGCATACCAAAGAGATACAAGAGGCTCTTTGGATCACACACTGTGAGGCAAGCAAACAAAGAAAAAGTTAGCAAGAACAGAACAAAAGAATTCGAATTCTCCTGGCTTACCCATCGTGAATCCTTCTTGCTCCATCACGGAATCATCACTTCTCACGTTGCCTTGGTCCTCAAAATCCATGATATAGGACATGCCCGAGCATCCTCCCTGCCGTACCCCGACTCTGAGACACAGATCCCTCTTCTGGTCGGCTCGCAGCTTCTGGAGATGGGAGAGCGCCTTGTCCGAGAGAGTGATCGCCGGGACGAGATTAGGCGCTGGCGATTCGACTGCGGCAAGCTGGAAATCTAGAGAAGCGCGCAAAAACCCTAGGAATCAATCCATACCTGCGGCAGCCCTTATAGTCGAGGCGCGGTGATTCGATGGCCGTGCCGTCGCCGCCAGGCGCTGTGGCCACAAGAATGAGGGGATCGATGCCGCCATAGCTGGAAGGAGCGCGATATTTCGAGCGAGGTGGATATTTCTCTCTCGAGAATGCGAGGAAGGGAATATACGAGCGGAAGGGGAGAAATATTCCCGTTGGAATATACGTTTTGTACGGCGGAACAAAACCTCCGTAGTAGCTATGGCGAATTTTAGGGCTTGGCAATTTTGAGCTGGGAGGTTTTGGCCGTTGGTACCATGGCGGGGAGCGGCGAAGAGCCGCTCAATCGGGAGCTCTATCGCGTTCCGGGCCACGCAGGTGAGTGAGAAATCCCAGATTTCTCCCATTTCTTCCTTCTCCTTCTTTTTTCCAGGATGGTTTTCGTGGACCGGCATCCACTCCATCGAGCGCGAGGCCCTGGTGGAGTTCTTCGAGGGCAAGACGCTGTCCAAGACGCCAAAGATTTACAAGGAGTACCGCGACTTCATCATCAACAAGTACCGGGAGAATCCCCGGCGGCCGCTCACCTTCACGGAGATTCGCAAGATGCTCGTGGGCGACGTGAATTGCCTCCGCCGCGTCTTCGAGTTCTTGGAGCTGTGGGGGCTCATCAATTACCACCCCGATCCCGCCGAGGCTGTCAGCTCCATCGTACTGCCCTCCAACTCCAGCGCTGCCGCCGCTGCCGCCGCCGCCCCTCCTCCGCCCGGCATCCAGATCGTGTCAAAGTCATTCGCCGCCAACCCGGCCTCCAACTTGGGGTCGCGAGAGAACGCTTTCCACAGCAAGCAGCAGGGTGGCGGAGGTGGGAAGTCGCAAAACTCTCCGGACGGGAACTCCTCCTCCGAGTGGACGGCCGAGGAGACGATGCTGCTGCTGGAGGCGATATCCAAGTATGGAGACAATTGGAACCGGGTCCAGCAGCACGTAGGAAGCAAGAACAGGGGGCAGTGCGTGAGGCAGTTCATCCAGCTCCCTTTTGGCGACCAGTTCCTGAACGAGGATCTCGGGGCCGTGTCGTCGTCATCGCCGGTGGCGTCCAAGTCGCTGGAGAATGGGACGAGCCACGAGGTGAGGCATCCGACCAAGAAGCAAAAGTTGTCACACACGGAAGCCAAGGCAGCCAAAGGTGCTCAGCACGCACACCAGGCGGCGCCCAACACCGCTACCGCGCATCAGCCGGAAGCTCACCATGTTTTGGAGGAGGTGACGCCTTTGACAGACGCCTCGAATCCACTCCTCTCGCAAGTGAGTTTCGCAGCATTGCATGGATTTTCTTTTGGTTTTTATTATCGTTTTAACCTTTTGGTTTTTATTCTTTTTTTTACTCTCGGACAGATTGCTTTCATGTCAGCAATGGTGGGTCCTCGAGTGGCTGCTGCGGCCGCTCAGGCCGCCCTGGCAGTTCTCGCCGAGGAGGAGCCCGCGGTATCACAATTACCATTTTTGAATCAGCAGCAACAGCAACAGCATCACCCGCATCAACAAAAGGGGCAACAGCAGTCAAAGGAGCAACAGCAGCCAAAGGAGCAGCAGCAGCAGCAGGATGAGCAAGTGGCCGCAGATAAAGAGGAAAACAAGCAAAACAACGCTGAAAAGTACGTGATGCCACGCACTCTTTTTCCGGATAAAAATCCCGTTTTTCTCGTTCTTGCAGCGACTCCGACGTAAAGCCTGAGGCGGACGCCAGTCCGGAAGTCAAGCAGCAGCAGCCATCAGGTACTAAACAAACTCTTCTTGTTTCTCTCTTCGATTAGACATTTCATTTAAGAATAACTTTATGAACAGCGGAGCCAGTGGAAGACAAGGATCAACATGCAAAGAAGGACAAGGAAGAGACGAGGATTTCGGCGGCAAAGCTGCGTGCGGGGCTTGCTACGGCCATGGCTGCCGCAGCTGTGAACGCGAAGCAGCTGGCGGACCGTGAAGAGCGTGACATGGAGCTCCTCATGGCCAACATTATTGAGAGCCAGGTGCGTAGGAGCAAAAAAGCTTCTTTTCTGTATGGTAACAGATGGAACTTTTCCTTTGGCAGCTAAAGAAGCTCTACAGCAAGCTCGATCATTTCGAAGAACTCGAGCAGCTAATGGACATCGAAAGGCTGCAACTCCAACAGATGCGAGAGCAAGTGTTTGTGGATCGCCTCCAGCTCATGAGGCAGCAGCACGCGAGCGCCGCCACCGTTGCCGCATCCGCTGCTCCGTCCGCGCAAGACAAGCCATCGTCATAACTTTCACTCTAGCAGAGAAAAAAGCTCCAAACTTTTGTGTACCATAAACATTTGTAACACAGTGACCCCAAACTTTTTGATCTCTTCCAAGGGAAAAAGAAAAGAGGATCACAGGCCAGGCCTCCTCCATTCCGGAGCCACTTATGCGTTATATACAAAAGCCACAGCGAGCGTCTCTCTCTCTCGCCACTCCACAGGCTTCTTCTTCATTGTCATCAAGTTCCTTCCTCCATAAGTAACTTTGCGTTGATGGAATGCATCGATCGTCCAGACCGAGCGTTGCTTTCGCTTCTTCCAAACCAGTCTTGTCCATCCGGTCATATCACCGGGTGTTCTCTGATGGGATGTAAGGCTCGAACAGCGTGGCCCAGGGATTGAAATCGAAGGCGATCACGTTTGCTGCTCGAGAGAATTCCGCACGGAGTGCCTTGATGCTGTGCTTGTCCACAACCCGGCCCAGATCGTGCGTCACTTCGAACGGGTCCTCTATGCAGATGAGGTGGCGTTCGTTGCCAATGCGTCGTGTCCACTCTTTCTCGTTCTTGCTGTAAACCAGAAAGAAAGACAAGATCACGAACTTCGTCTGAAGTTTTTACTGGTTTTACCTGAGATATCCTCCAGTTCGGACGGATATAACCGAGTGGTTGTAGTCGTGTTGGCAAGCCCAATAATCAAAAAATGCAGTCAGTAGTTCTCCCAAAGTTTCCTTGTTGTCGGCTCCAAAGTCACGCAGCGTCTCGACTTGATCGTAATACGCGCATCTGATGCTTCCCACTTTCACTTCATACGTGGGTCGCATTTCCTGGCACAAGCCACGCGGGAGTTTATAAACAAAAAAACAGCAAGGAAAGGGCCATGCTTACCTGAAGACACGGGAGTATCGGCGGTCTCCTTTGCTGAAGAAAATGTATACACATCAACACATAGCTGGAAAACAGAACAGGAATAGCTTAATACTGAATGACTCCCGCGAAAACAACTCAATACGTACGCATAACTCGAGAGAGTTCCGCGATAAGTATCGTTTACTTGTCGTCTCTTAGCCCAGTGCTTCACCATGAAAGCTAGTTGTCTCAGACGCACGTCGATTTGAGCGTAGTCGTGCAGTAACTTCGAGTTCACGACCGCCAGCGTGTTGTTCACACAGATGTCACAAGAGATGCCAGTTGCAGGCTCCGTAAACTTCACTATCGGAACTCTAGCATGCGTCAACGCCTGCAGAGATGAAAAGAACAGCGGATTAATAGCGCGGGAACAAAGACAAGCAAGAAACCGACCTGTACGTTTAACATGGCATCTGACTCGAGGATAGTTGCCATTTGAACCACAAGTTCGATCTTGTTCGGTTCTTCTTCATCAACGGAGAGGCAAACATCGATGTCACTGTTACAAACTCCAAACGCATTGACACACGATCCGAAAAGAAAGAGGCGTGTTCCCGGGAGCTCCCTCTCGAACAGGGACTCAAGCTTTGAGAAGAACTTCCTTCTCCGGACCTCTTCTTCCTCGGTCGGTATAAGTTCGTCGTAGAGGGAGAGAAGCTCACGCGTGAAATTCTGCAAATCCAGTCGGTAAAGAAGATCACGTCTGTGCATGGGAATGACACGCCTGGACTCCCTGAAACGGTTCTCCTTTGGCTGTAAAGAGATACAAATCAATGAAAAGGCTGCACAGAAAGCAAGCACATACCTTAAAGAACTGCGGAGCTTTACCCTCTCGACGGTGACCGTCAATTTGTAGCTCCTCGAGATCTAATGAAGCCGTCACGTCTTCTTCTTCCAAAGCATCTAGATTATGGAGCCTCTGCTTGGACTCCTCAAAAGCTGCCCCAACTGAAGAGTTTTGCGTACTTCCCGATGGTAAACCTGGATGTTCAAGTTGGGAAGCCAACGAGCGTGCCTTTGGAAACTTGTAGTCTGGCTTCTTCTCCGCTGGAAATGCTGCCTTCGAGTCGGCCTGTTTTATTCTCCATTCCTGTTGATGTTTTCTCCTCGCCTTCGAGTGAGTCCCGTTTGAAGATTTAAACGACTCGTCCCTTGCATCAGAGACATCGCAGGAGGTGATGTCACTTGGCTCAGCATCTCTCATCTGCCTCTCATTTACCGCAATCCACTGGCCAGCAGAACCCCGACCACCGCGTCTGGCGTCAGTGCGGCCGGTACCTCGGCGCCTTCCCGCACCTCGAAAGTCATCGCTTCCTGGCTCAAATTCTGCCTCTCCATTCGCGTATCTCCCACGATATTCCTGTAGTCTTCCGGATGCTGAGTTCGTCCTCGGCTTTTCATTCGCCTTAGAGTCGACATAGTCGTAGCCGTTCAAAGGTTGTCTCGAGGAGGCAGGCTCCGATCCTCTTCGCTTCAAAAGTGAGAAACCAGCCGCTCCACCTCCATCAACTTCTCCAGACGTCTCGTTCACTTCAGCACTCAAACTCCGGTGGCTAGCTGACGGTTTGAGTTCGCCTTCTCCGTCAAACAATGCGTGCCTCGACGAGGGAGGAGCAGCCCACATACGTCCAAGGATGTCATTTGGACTCTCCGGGGGAGAAATGATTTGACGCCTCGGGGGTCCTATGGGGCCGTGAAGTGTAGATGGACTTCCTTTCTTCGATGGCTCTCCAGAGTCCCCACTGTCCGATGTAGCATCCAGCTTTGTCGAGGATGTGGGCTTCACACGACCAGGACCACCTTGTAACAACTGAAGAAGCTCGGAACCGTTGCCGTAGAACTGCTGCTTGTCATCCTTCACAGGTGTAACCGATCTTCTCGGCTGCTCCACGGCGCGTTTAGAGTCCGAGCTCTCTGCAGCACTCGGTCCAAAAACCGGAGAACCAAAGTGAAGGCCAGGACCAGGACGAACTTTAAGCTCCCCAGACGAATGTGGCGGATGAACCATATTCTCGGCAGCCTGGAAAGTCGGAGCATTTGGAAAAGGATACGGCACTGGCGGGTGGAACGGTCTCTCGACTGGAAGCGGAGCAAACGAGCGAAGAAATCCGTGGTCCGACGGAGTCAAGAACGGATCCGAAGGAAAAAGTGGGTCTTGGTGCTGCTGGAAGTGAGGTGACCACCCACCAAATCTTATTGCCGGGACGTAGAGTGGTCGTGGAGGAGGAACCTCTCCTCCTCCTCCCCCTCCTCCAGATCCTCCAGGAGGAGCGAAGCTGTGGCTGGGACCGTGAGCTGCGACTGCTGGATCCTGTAGCTGCCAGGAATCGCTGCTACTGCTTCTCAGCTGCTCGTCGCCCCCACCGCTCTTGAGAAAATGGAGTAGCAAATCGCCGCTGGGAGAAGAAACGTCCAGGCCCAGTTCATCCTCGGACTGCGTAGTGGCAACCAAGGCGGACAAGTTTGGAGGACGAACTTGTGGCGGATTCCACGTCATGGCTGACTTCCACGCTCCCAGTCAGAGAATCACCGCCCGCTACATGACTGATCGCCCCAGAAATCCCGAAACTCTCGAATGCGCCCCTATTTTCTAGCTGCCCCGGCCGCGGAGATGAGAGAAATCCACACGATCGCCTGCAAAGCCTCAGCGTTCAGCTCAATTTCCGAGAGATCCTATGCTTGCATGAATCTAGATCGGCTACTCCGGCTCTAGGCCAGCGAAATCGCGGCGCGGCGCCGGCGCTGGCGCTGCTGCTGCTTCTCGAGGCGATTCTAGCATGCATACCTGGCTCATCGCCGGCGCTGCCGGAATAAAACGTGCTTGCGACGCTATTGCCTGCTCCTCCCCTGTCCGCCATAGCCGCGAAGAAACCTAGAAATGCTTGTACCCTAGCCAAAGCACCTATATCCATAGCCTATGACACATTCATTCATTGAACTATCCGAAGAATATGCCACGCTATGCTATGATATTCCCATTTCTATGTATATTAACAAAACTTTGGTAAGTTAAACAATGCGCAGACTTCCTCTTGTGTTCTTTCTTCTCATCTAAATAGCATCTTGAGCTCCTCGATTCGAGCGCTTCGCACCTCTTCGTCTGTAAGAGCTCCGGCGATCAATCGCTGCTTCCTCGCTTGGACTTGTTGCATTCTCTCCTCCACCGAGTCCTGTGAAACTCCCTAAGAATTTCAAGCGTTTCAGGAGGAAATGGAAACTTACTTTGACGATGAATCGCTTGATCGATACGTTTTGAGTCTGGCCGATACGGTGGATTCTCATTATGGCTTGTTCTTCCACGGCAGGATTCCACCAAGGATCCTGGAAGGCGGAGTGTCAATTCTGACGATGGCAAAACGAAACTATAGCGAACCATGAGAAAAGCGTTCGATGCGGCCGTCAGGTTGAGTCCCACGCCTCCTGCCTTGAGAGAAATGAGCATGACCTGTCGAGAGTAGAGTCAGTCCGTGTGTCGAGAGGCGAGCAATGAAAAGCTTACGGCCACGTCTGGAATATTGCTGAAGTCTTTCAGCACTTGTTCTCGCTTATGCTGCGACAATGTTCCGTCCAAGCGGACAAAACGGAAGTTCTTCCTGGAAGTGCATTGTTAGAAACACGAACAAAGCGAAAGCTCCAAAGGAAAGACGACCACGGGCTCGTACCGTTTCAATGGTATCTCTAGCAAGTCGAGAAACGCTGTCCACTGACTAAAAACAACGCTTTTCGACTCACGCAACGTTTCCAGCTGCTGCAGAAGGGCCTCGACTTTGGACGACTCCTTCCACTGTTCCTCGACATTTACTCGGAACCGGTTACTCGTAGGTACAGTTATAAGTTCCTGTTTAGTACAAGAACGCCTGCATGACAGCCATGGATAAAGAAGGAGAGCTTGCGAAAAGAAAGAAAAAACTTACCTGCATATTGGACAGGGACCTCCGGCGCTAGTACGCCAGCTATTAAATAGGCACTCACGGCACATTTGGTGAGCACATGGTGTAAGAACTGCGTCCTCTGGCATTTCCAAGCAAATTGGACATTCAGCAGTGTCCCCTTTACGAATATCATCAACCACTTCTTTCACATAAGCCGTCGAAGGGACCTGGGAGGAGTTCTTGTCCAAGAAACGTCTAGCCAACTTTCCAAGGTCCGCGTAGTCTTCAGTGTCGCCACGGCTGCGCAACGAAGAAAACTTCAGAAAGTGTGTACAGAAGACGACGCATTTTCTACCTCAGAACAAGAAAAGGATGATCACAAGCTTGCCGTAATCGAAGTAGGAGTTCGAGTATTGACGCATAGTTATGAAGAACTTTACCTTCTTGAACGAACTGATCGAATTTTACCTGATCACATAAAGAAAAAGGTGTTCAGCAATGAAAGAAAAATAGATGAGTTTTTCTTCCTGCCTTGGATCTGTGGTAAAGGGCATCATAAAAATCACGCTCAGACTCGGATAGGTTGCATTCAATAACTTCACATTGAGCTGGTGGGAGCACAAGAATTGGCCTGTGAATTCAACTCATGAGTGAATACAAGACAATGCACGGTGGGAAAACAAAATGTCTACCTTCCTTCTTTGTCAGTTGAATCTTTTGTTCTCCGAAGCATTAAAGGCTTCAAAATAGCCTGCAGAAGTTTCAATCCGCGCTCATCCCCCTCTTCGTAAGGCTTCTGAATTAGCTTATACCACCTGAAAAGATGACATGTTTCAGAAACATTATAGAAACTGTGAAGGGCTGATACCATCCCCAGTTGCACCACGGTTCAACCCGGAGAAAATGGAAAAGACTGTACATATCCTCGAGCTTGTTCTGCATTAGAAAAAAAATGCTAGTTAGCTAAAACATATAGAAAAGGTTCTTACTTGCACAGGAGTCCCAGTCAGGCACAATCTGCGGTCTGCCACAAGCTTGAAAACAGCCTGAGCAACGCGAGACTTATTTGCCTTGATAGAATGAGCCTCGTCTAATACAACTCTAAACCAATTCACGTTATGGATTGGTCCGTCGTCTCCGCTCTACAAAACACCGTGAGTGAGAAATTCTGCTTTGAATTACTAACTTACATTGTTGCATTCCGACTGAACAACGCCATAGGTAGTCAGGACAACATCGTACTTAGAGAGAGTTTTGGAATCTCTTGATCTATCAGGTCCATAATAAGCATAAACAGAGAAAGTGCCAGAAGATACGTGCGTTTCAAGCTCTGACTGCAAGCACAGGTTTAAAAAATTCAAATACACATCAATGAAAAAACACGTACCCGCCATTGACTAAGCAAAGTCATGGGACAGATTATAAGAGTGCCACCCTCCTTTGGAACACTTGAACTTTTAAAGGACTTCGTTTTTCCCACTGTTGGCTGCACCTGAGAGGTATTACATCCTTTGCGGCGATTGCAGAGCAAAAGAGATATTGTCATGACCGTTTTACCAAGCCCCATAGCATCAGCGAGAATCTGATTTGATAGAAACATAAGATACCGATTAGCAGATTTGACGAGCAAAATACCCCTCCTCTTGAAGCCTGGAGTGCGCTAGGAAAGTCCAGTGTTGCCTCGCCAGAAAAAGAATTCACGTAAAAAGAAGAGGCTCGTCTGCAAAAGGGATGACTAACCAGCATGACACGAAGTTGAATCATACCTATCCGCAATACGGTATTCAGACCAGCAAGGATGAAGAGCTTTAGCAGCGTCTCCCTGAGTGACACCATCTTCCAGTTGAGACATCCAAAACAAAGCTTGCTTTTGGTAAGGCCTCAGCTTGCATTCTAGACCTTCAGGTTCCTCCATTTCCTGGTGTGTCGAATGTTGAGTCATGGAAAATATGACAATAAACATATGCGTACCTTCAGTTCGCGACTGTCACTGGTGCCAACCACATGATCGACCTCCGAATCGGGCATATCTTCAGTATCCTTCTGCTCGACTTTTGAACGCTTTGAAGGTGGCCCTTCCTGTTTAAAAAAAAAGTCGCAGATTGTCTCACACATGATCAGGCTTAAAACTACCTCTGGACGTCGACAAGTGTAGACATTTAAATCTTCTGGCGTAAACTGGGCCTGGACAGCAACTATGTTATAAACAAAGGCCAAAACAACACGATGTTGTACCTTTCTAAGAGGAGTCATCTTTAAAAGCTCCATCAACGACGGAAGAGGGCGAAAAGTTGTCTCTTCAATCGATACTGTTCTCTTGTATTTCACAAATAACGACTTATTGATGTAAACTCTGCAAACACATCATGTAGGTATACACAAACTTCTCCAGGAAATTAAGAACATTTTACCTCAAATCGAGAACTATGCTGCTCATAAGAGAGAGTGCCTCTGGTGCCATTTTGCACCTCCCCAGTATGTTTATTTTATTCGAGCGAACCAAAGGTATTAGACACTTGGCCCAGTCAGCTGGAAGCCGTCCTATCTGTGTGCAAATAGTTAGAATCAAAATAAATAACGAGTGAAACGTACCTCTCCTGAAGTTTTTGTTGAGAACCTTACAATGTCGGAGCTTGCTTTCTGCCGAGCCCAAGGCTTCTTGTGTTCGAAGGACTTCTTCTTACTTTCAGCTACAGGCTTGGGAAAGTTGAAGGACACGAAATCACCAGCACCAATTCGGGATCCTCTGGAAGTCGAGTAACCAGCGACTTCTGTCTCTTCGAGGAGCCACCACCTCTCTGCATCTAAAACAACCGAGTGCTTTTCTGTACAACTGGCTAATGGAGAGGTTAATGGAGCAACCTTAGCTCCAGATGAATAGGCAGCTTTACCATCTTCTGGAGTTTCGACTTTCACAGAACCCGGTTCCATCTTCAGCGAGACATTTGGAGCTTCGACTTTCACAGAATCCAAACCACTCTCCATCTTTACTGAGCCATTTGGAGCTTCGACTTTCGCAGAATCCAAACCACTCTCCATCTTCACTGAGCCATTTGAAGCTTCGACTTTCGCAGAATCGAAACCAGTCTCCATCTTCACCGAGCCATCTACATCACAACGAGCTTCGATCTTCACCGAAAAATCCGAAGCTTCAGCTCTCACGGAATCACAACCAGCGTCCACAGTATCTAGCTTTATCGCGAGCTTTCGGGAATCCAAGGGACAATCTCCGATCGAAAGCCCTGCTAAGGCGCTAGAAACAGACTCGCCATCTCCCCTGGCAGCCTCACCGGAGCTCTCGACCGCCTTGGCATCTGTTTCCTTCACCTCGGCATTCTTTGCTCCTTCAGCCTTTCTCTTTTTGGTCCCTCCTCCAACCTTACCATCGTTGGCTTCACTATCTACTTCGTTGCCTCCATTTTCTACTCCCGAATCATCTAAGTTTCCTGTTCCGCTATCAGTGCTCACCTCGGCACTCATTGTTGTCCTACCAGCCTCAGCTTTTGCGGGAGTTCTTGGCGATCCACTGGAAGGTTTTGCCGCAGAGTTCGTTGTCACGGTAGAGCTCCCTGTCATCGACGATTTCCCAACGCTGGGGCTCCTCGCCTTGGCACTGTTTGTCGAAGAAACCGCACCCTGCTTCTTCCTATTTCTAAAACCCGGAGTCTCAAGCACAATGTGCGCGGCCATTTGGAGATCGTTCCTCGACAAGTGTAGCGCGTGAACGAGATCCATGTCGCACACATCGCTGCCAAGGACATCCCGGAGAGCGCGAAAACTTTCGTTGTCAATGCGACTTGCCGGCGGAGAAGGCCCAGAAATTCCCATTACCTTGTCCAGCTCCAAGAACTCCAAGAATGCCGATCAAGGCTACCCCAGCGCCGTCTCCCGGGCGACCGCAGCGATCGCGCGGGCAATAGATAACCTACAAATCCCCTCCAAGAACCCTAAAATGGAGTAAAGACCAGGTAGCGCGGGAAATTCCTCGCGGGAAAAAATCTATTCAATGGACGCTAGACAAGAGCCTAGAACATAGGCCGCGCCATTCGCGGGCTCCAGGGACACCGCCTTGTTCCCCGCTCGAGCCCCAATCGATCCACTGCGGTGCGCCACGGACGATCCCAGCAGCGATCTCCACGCCACGACATCGATATCGATCGCGAGAGGATTTGCAAGCAGCATTTCCTCGGCTAGCTTCAATCCTGCCCCACTCTTCCCGAGCGCATCGATCACGGCACTGTAGTGCTCCACTCGAGCCGCCAGGGCGTAATCGCTGCCCATCGAGCGCAGCCACTGGCAGGTCCTCTCGACGCTTCCGGATCTCGCGCACGCACTGAGGATGCTCGTGAAAGATCCCTCATCCACGATGAATCCCTCGGCACTCATCGCCCAGAGGAGCTCCACAGACTCCCCGAATCGCCCATTCGAGGCGAATCCATCAAGCATCGCGTTCCAGGACACGCTGTTTCTCTCGGGCATCCGATCAAAGAGCTCCTTCGCTCGCGAGATCTCGCCATTCTTTGCGAATCCATCCGCGAGGCTCGTCCAGGAGATCACGTCCGGGGCGGGGATGGAATCAAACACATCCTTCGCGACACCCAGTTGCCCATCCCGGGCAAGCGTGGTAACAATCGCGTTCCAAGACGCGACTGGCGAATCGCGGATGGAATGAAAGATCTGCAAGGCGTCGGTGACAAGAGATTTCTCCGCAAACGCGCCCAGCATCGCGGTGCACGACACAGCGTCCAGCTCCGGCATACCATCAAAGATCACTTTAGCGTGCTCGAGTAGCCCCTTATTCCCGTACGCCTGGATCATCACCGTACAGGAAACGATACTCCTCTCGGGCATATTCTCAAAACACCGCGTCGCATCGTCCAGATGCCCGTTATAGGCATATGCGTGTAAAAGCCCGGCCCACGACACAAGGTTCCTGTACGGCATTTGGTCAAATAGGTGCTTTGCTTGCGAGAGATTGTCTTCCCTTACAAATAATATGATCATTGTGTTTCTTGCAAACACGTCTTGCTGAGGCATCCCTTCAAAGCAGAGTTTTGCTTCTTCAAAATGCCCTCCACGGGCAAGTGCTGCAAGAAGTGTGTTCCACGAGATTGCATCCCGGTCTGGCATTTCCGCAAAGATGCTCTTCGCAAGCTCAATCTTTCCGATATCCACAAACCCCTTGATAATGATGTTCCACGAGAAGAGGTCTCTCTCAGTCATCAAATCAAACACGTTCTTGGCCTGATCCATATACCCGCTTTGGGCATACGCTGAGAGCATCGTATTCCACGAGACCGTATCCCTCTTGGGCATCGTCTCAAACACCGCTTTCGCCGCGTGAATATCTTGATTAGCCACATACGCTCCCAGCAAGATGTTCCACGAGAATTGATTGGGTTTTTCCAAGCCATCGAAGATCCCGGAAGCGCCTCGCAGGTTCCCACAATCTCCATACTTTTGGATGATGAGATTGGCGAGGTAGCGATCGCGGCAGTGCCCACTGCGACTCAGTCTGGCTCTTATCTCGTCAAGATCGCTGGAGTTTCGGCAAGAACGTATGAATCCCGCAAAGGCCTGGATGGAAGAGCAGGAGTCCATAAACTGGAAAGTTCCATAGAAACCAGAAACAACAAAACCAAGAACCAAGAAGAACCAGTGGTACTATCTGGACATAGAAAAGAAAGGATTGTTCCTTTGTTCCAGAGTTTGAATGTAAGTTGGTCATGGCCGGTTTTTTATAAGATCTTGTTTTGACTTGGAGAGGAATCTTAGAGCAAAGAATTCTTGCATTCTTCACGGGCTATGGCGGAAGGGGCAGCGCATCGCTTGATCGACACAAATGGCATCAAGATGCATATAGCAGAGATGGGATCAGGTAAGGCAATGACAAAAACGCAGAAGAATGAAGGAAAAAAAGATGATTTTGCGACGATGATCGACCAGGAGGGCCGACTGTGGTGCTGCTCCATGGGTTCCCCGAGACGTGGTATACATGGAGGTTCCAACTCAAGGCGCTGGCGGACGCTGGTTTCCACGCCGTTGCTCCAGACTTGCGAGGCTTTGGTACCGAGTGTCCCAGGGATTCATCCGGCAACTTCAAGCTCACGCCTCTGGATCTCGTGGGAGATATCGTGGGTCTCATCTATGCTCTCGGAGGAGACCCGGTACGTGATGATTTTCTAGCCTCCTAGTTTTCCAAATCCTCCCTCGATCGCAGGTGTTCGTCGTGGGTCATGACATTGGAACATCCACAGGATGGAACTTGTGTCGCATGAGGCCGGATCTCGTGAGAGCTTATGCTTCGCTTGGAGGTCCTTTCGTGCGAGCCGGAGGAGCTCCAACTTTTGGATTTCCCCAGGAAGAAGGATTCTACGTGAATCGCTTTGGTGTACGTCTGTGAATCACTTTTGTTCACAGCTCTAGAAAATTCTTTCCAGGTACCTGGGAGAGCCGAGAAAGACTTCGCTCGATTTGACACGGCCACCGTGCTCAAGAACATCTACACACTCTTTTGCCGGTCCGAGCTCCAGATCGCCGGGCCCGACGAGGAGATCATGGACTTGGTCACCACCTCGGACCCCATCCCGAGCTGGCTCACCGAAGAGTTCATCAAAGTCCAGTCCGAGCTCTACGACAAGTCCGGCTTCGAGTGCCCGCTGCGCTTCACGTATCGCGACCGCATGAGGTTTGCAACTAGGAAATCTATCCCTTTGCTGGATCGAGTTTGTTGGATTTTTGGCGCAGGAAGTTTGAGCTCATGGCTCCCTGGATCAGCATGCCAGTGACGAGCCGCTGCCTCTACATCACCGGCAAAGATGACTATGTGCGCAAGTTCCCGGGGCTGGACGAGTACGTGACCGGCGGTGGAATGAAGCGAGACGTCCCCAACCTCGTCGACGTTGCTATTGTTCCCGGTGGCCATTTTGTGGAGGAAGACTCACCTAAGGAAGTGAACTCGTTGCTCATACGCTTCTTCAAAGAGTAAAGCATTCTCATTGCCTGGAAAGAGAAGAAAATGGGAAATATTTATTTTTAAATGAAAAAATCAATAAAAATGCATTATATATTACTCTTCAGTTTCACTGTCTAGATCTTCTAGCCAAGCCAAGACACGTTCTTTGAGGCACCCAAGCCGCATTGACCAACTTCTTTAATGAAGCCAACTTGGTAGTCAGGTACGTGAAAGTCACATCCAATCATCCAACTCTTCATACCCTCCGCCAAGTTCTTGCAGCCGTGGAGACATAAACATAAGCGTGCCCTGCGTTTTGTTCGGCTTGCGGGGTTTGGAACTCCACTGACTTCTTAGCATCAAGATAGAGGCGACAGGGCGGGGGAATTCGCTGCGAAGTTTGCATGAGCTCTCGTGATATCAAGCCTGATAACGTCGTCGTCCTAAAGGATGACGAGCTTTGCAAATCATCCCTGTAACAAGATAAGTTGAAATCATAGAACAGAGTTCCAGCGCCAAGAACACTGCCACTGTTTCCTTGCGTCGAATCCCATCCACGTTCTCGAGCGCATCGTAGAAAGATTCCTCGAGTACCGACGAGTGACGCTCGACATCACTCACCCGGCACGACAGTATTATGCTGTTGCTACCACTGTGCACAAGTTTTTCTCCCACCACCACCTTCAATCGTCCATGACGAAGCGGAGTGGCGCGAGGGGCTGCCCGTTGAGCTTCCAAATCCGCCACACCAGCGCGACGAGGCCCGACAGCATCGAATCAAACACAACGCAGCCTCTCTTGGTCGTAGAGCTGCATCATCGAAGCCTTCGAGCTGGGGAAACTTGGCACAGTTCCAGCTGCTCGGTCTTCCCATCCACGAAGATAGCATCTAAGCAGAAGACCGCCTGCTTGGCGTCCAGTCCCCGAGCATGTAATGACTTCGCTGCCAACTGCGAGTAGCTGCTGATATGGTCCATCCGCCATCTCTTTGGTCCATAATTAACCCCCTCCTCCAGATCAAGATCGCTCATTAAACAATTTCTTTGATTTGATTGGACAACATCTCTGTGTTTGAATCCTTGTTTCTGCATACGAGCTTCCATTCTTATGGCATTCTCGATAGTCTACAGAAGAACGAAACTTAGAACTAAACCACGAAAAGAGAGAGAGAGACCTCTCATAACTCAGATCTCCAACAAGGAAATCTTTATTTACCCCTCGTTCTGCCGGCTCTACAATGAGAGCATGCTGCTCAGGTCAGTAGCAGCGTGGTATTGTACGAGGCTGAGTCGCAATGTATATCAACTCCTCTTTTATTACTTCCGGCGATCATGCTCTACTCTTTGAAGAAGCGTATGAGCAAGGAGTTCACTTCCTCGGGCGAGTCTTCCTCCACGAAATGGCCGCCAGGAAGAACAGCAACGCCGACGAGGTTGGGGACGTCTCGCTTCATTCCACCGCCGGTCACGTACTCCTCCAGCCCCGGGAACTTGCGCACGTAGTCATCTTTGCCGGTGATGTAGAGGCAGCGGCTCGTTACTGGCATGTTGATCCAGGGAGCCATGAGCTCAAACGCCCTGCACGAAAAATTCGATCAAACTCGATCCAGCAAAGGTATCTTGAAAAACCTCATGCGATCGCGATATGTGAAGCACAGCGGGCACTCGAAGCCGGACTTCTCGTAGAGCTCGGACTGGACTTTGATGAACTCCTCGGTGAGCCAGCTCGGGATGGGGTCCGACGTGGTGACCAAGTCCATTATCTCCTCGTCGGGCCCGGCGATCTGGAGCTCGGACCGGCAAAAGAGCGTGTAGATGTTCTTGAGCACGGTGGCGGTGTCGAATCGAGCGAAGTCGTTCTCAGCTCGCCCAGGTACCTGGAAAGAATCTGAGCTCAAAGTTGGATGGAGCAGTGATTCACGGACTTACACCAAAGCGATTCCCGTAGAATCCTTCTTCCGTGGGACGTCTAAATCCTCCGAAGGGAATTCCAAGCGAAGCATAAGCTCTCACGAGATCCGGCCTCATGCGACACAAGTTCCATCCGATGAACGCTCCAACGTCATGACCCACGACGAACACCTGCGATCGAGAGAGGATTTAGAAAACTAGGAGGCTAGAAGATCATCACGTACCGGGTCTCCTCCGAGCGCATAGACGAGACCCACGATATCTCCCACGAGATCCAGAGGCGTGAGCTTGAAGTTACCGTATGAATCCCTGGGACACTTGGTGAGACCAAAGCCTCGCAAGTCTGGAGCAACGGCGTGGAAACCAGCGTCCGCCAGCCCCTTGAGTTGGAACCTCCATGTATACCACGTCTCTGGGAAGCCATGGAGCAGCACCACAGTCGGCCCTCCTGGTCGATCATCGTCGCAAAATCATCTTTTTTTCCTTCATTTTTCTGCGTTTTTTATGATTGCCTTACCTGATCCCATCTCTGCTATATGCATCTTGATGCCATTTGTGTCGATCAAACGATGCGTTGCCTCTTCCGCCATAGCCTGTGAAGAATTGCAAGAACTCTTTGCTCTAGTTTTATAACCCAACAGCTGTGATTTATCACCAAATCTTCTTTCACATATGTATATCATCGTCGTAACCTTGGTCTCTCTTTCTCAAAGAGAATTCCACCTTGGCTTGAGCTCCAGTGCGTCAAAACTGGCTCTAATCTCGTCAATATCGCTGGAGTTTCTGCAAGAACGTATGAATCCCGCAACGGAGACCATAAACTGGAAAGTTCTATAGAAACGAAGAAAATTTGATAGTACAGAAAACACAAAACCAAGGGACGAATTTGCGCGCTACTAACTAGGTACAAGGTTATTGGCCGTAGCTAAGATCGAGGAGGCAAAATTATTTCGTAACAAAAAAAGAGAGACCTTAAGAAGGAAAAAAAAAAAAATCCAAAGCCAGCGAGGAGAGAGGAATAAAGAAAAAAACGGAAAGAACAAATGAAATGAAGGCGAGAACACTTATCATCGATAGAGGGGCGGTAGTAGTAGATCAACACTCACAGCCAGACGATCTTGGCAGTCTATTGTTATTTGTAATGTCGATCGTGTCCGGAAGATAGCTGCGAGAATTACATCGAAACTTAGCGCTTGAAACATCACAAACAAGCAAACTTACAAGTCTTCCTCCGGTTCGCTCCTCAAGGCATTTTTGGCGATGCATTGAAAGGCAGCCTCTACGTTGTAGTCTTCCTTGGCAGACGTCTCAAAGTATGGGATGTTTCCCTTGGAAGCACACCAGGCCTTGGCTTTCTTCTCGGAAACCTGGAGACACAAGCGTAAGAGAGAGTGAGAGAGAAGCGAGAGAGATTGAGGGCTAGCACTCACCACTCTACTGTTCCCTCCATCTACGTCGACCTTGTTGCCGAGAACAATGAAAGGGAAGTTCTCTGGATCGGAGGGACTTGCCTGGAGACTGGTTTAGAGACTGATAAGGAGCTTTCAAGCATCTCACTTTACCTGGATGAGGAACTCTTCTCGCCAGTTGTCCAAGTTGTCAAACGATTTCATCACATTCACGTCGTATACCAACACGCAGCAATCAGCGCCTCGATAGAATGCCACACCGAGGCTTTGGAATCGCTCTTGACCGGCTGTGTCCCATATCTGGAAAACCAAAATCCCAATTCGTAAGAAGAAGAAAGAATTTTTTTTGGAGCAAAGATCACGACCCACCTGCATCGTCACTAGCCTGTCCTCCACTTGAACTTCCTTGGTGAGAAAATCGGCTCCAATAGTAGCCTTGTACTGGTTGCTAAACTTCTTATTCACATATCTAAGAGTAGCGTCAAGGCATCAAACAAGAGAGAAATAAAGAGATTTCGCAGCTCGATCACAGCGAGAGAAAAAAACCAATAGGATACTGATTCATTAGCGATGTCTTCCCGACTCTGCGCAAGAATCACACAGATTGAGCTCGATTACTCACTCATCCCTTAGAAATCGAATATAGACCCATACCCGCTGTCGCCGAGAATGATCGCCTTGAGGAGAGTTCGCTTCCTGGACGCCATGCTGAGCTCGCGCTAGAAATCCCGGCACAGATCAGGCGTTGCGCATCACCAGTGGAGCTCTCTCCACAAAGAATCCAGCAAACCCTACGACAGCGATGCACCCCGTGTTGCCCTAATATTAAGGGTAGTGTATCTTTTCTTTTTTGCCTGTGACGTGTCGACAGACGTGGCAATTCCTCTTTTTCTCTCACCCGCGCGAATCTCCGCCGTTGTTTTTTCAACGGCTGCAGATTGCTCACTCACTGAAGCTTTTGACGCTTTTTCTTTTTGTTGTGGCCTTCTTGTTTCTCCGGAAAGCTCGACAGCTTCTTTCTTATCTCGCTGAGCTTCGCTCCAGCATCTTTGAAAAGAGCATTTGAGCTCAGTGCTAGCAAGTCCTGGATGATCAAAGAAAAAAGAAGATCAAAATCTCGTTCCTCGTCAAGAGTTATCTGGTACCTGTACGTAGCTCATTGCGGCAATGTTGCGTCCAAGGACGTTTTTAAAGCTCTGAAAATCCACAGGCCAGAAAACATGAGGGAAAGATAGGAAGAAAAGTTTACCCGCACGCTGCCGTGAATTTCTTGAACACTGGTTACAATTGCACGGGCTGATGGTGTTGCAATGAGTTGTTCATGGTGGATGCGTAGTAGCATCGTCGCTACTCTTCCTACAATTTCCACCTTTCAACGTAAAAAACACACGAGTCAGTGAAAGCAAGATCCAAACACGAAAGAATCTTGTACCTGACTACCATCGGGTATCCACTGCTTGACGTATTCCAGCAGCTTCAACGCATCCGAAAATGGGAGCATCTAGCAGTCATAGAAGAAAAGTTAAGAACTTGTAGCAAAAACAAACGAGAGTTCATACCAGGAAGGCTTGCTCGAGATCGCTAGGCCGGACCGAAGCAACAGCACGAAGGACGTAGGCAGAGGGTGAGAGACCGAGCATCATAACGTTGGGTTGGAACTTCGTTTTTTCTCCAGCCTCCTGCAAATACATGCATGAAATGGTGATCATCTTTTTTGGAGTTACACCAACCTTGTGCTCCAAAATCTTTTTTCTTTCTTCCTCGGCCAAGTCCAAGGCGTCGATGATAGAGTCCGCAGCAGACACGGTATCCTGCGTCTTTCGTCCGGCCAAACCGGAAGCTCCTTCTTCCGGAGCTTCTTGCCTAGGCGCTCTGGAGTCGTCTAGCTCGGAATCAAACCGTGCCTCCAGTTGCTTTTCTCTTTCTTCCTGTGAAGTACGCACTTAGCAAGCCACCACCAGATTTAAAACGCTACCTCTATGAAGAAAGGTTCTTCTGTCCGCTCCCACCGGCGTATCGATCTGTCATGCGATCCGGTGATAATAAAATCTCCGTAGAAACTCACTGCAAGGCACCAGATCTCGGCGTGATGTCCCTCCAGTCTTAACAGGTGCTGGAACTTGTCCGCATCCCAGTAGTTGACAACTCGGTCTTTACCAACGCTGAAAATGTAATGGGTGTTTGGAACAAACTTCAGTGCCATAACACTATCGTGATGAGCGAAGAGAGACTTGTGGCAGTCTCCAAAGTCCATTCCCCAGATCTTCATATTCTTATCCGCAGAACCGGAGGCAAGTAGAGCTCCATCGCTCGAAATATCGATGCAAAGGACGGGAAGCTTGTGCCCGTAGAGCGAGAGATAAAACTTCAAGCTATCTGTAAAAAAGATCTGCTTTGCAACATGAATCGTCAGCGTCACAGCCAAAACAAAGTCACTCACTTTGACAGTGGAGTCGAGAAGCGCAACAGCCAGATACTTTCCATCCGGACTTACACGAACAGCAAGAACATCCTCGGCCATTCTTAGAGTACGCACATTTTCAATAGTAAGCTGCTTGAATGCCTGGAACTTGTCCACGTCAAATTCCACACGAAGATAAAACACAAGAGTTACCTTGTCGTCCGCTTGAACAAGATCAAACCTCCAAAACTTCACGTCATTATCTGCGCTCCCGGTGACAAAACCTTCACCATTTGGTAGAGCTGACACGGACCACACCGCTCCAGAGTGGGCTTCCACAGCTCTCACTCTGTCCCCTGATCGAACGTCGAAAATCTCCAAAGCTCCCGTCTTGGTCCCAACGATGGCGTGATGGTTGCCAGGACCAAACAAGCCACACAGACCGTAGCCAGCCTCCATTGTCCGCAAGCAAGAACCTGTCGTTGGATTCCAGATCTTCACTGCATTGTGGCTGGTCGTCATGAGCAGCGTGCCATCCATTGTGAGCACCGCCGAGCGGACGTCCGACCTGTGACCCGGGAGATCGATGGAGTGGACTTTGGCCGACGATTCTGCCTGCACTTCGTGGACTTCCAAGCTGTTGTTGTGCAGTGAAACCGCCAGCGTGCACATCACTTCTTTCCTCGAGTGTAGAGGAGAGATAGCAAACGATCTCGCCTTGTGTTTCAGTCGAACGATTTGTAGAAGCCGGATATAGTCCGATGCTTGGAAGTCGTTACCATCTTCCGGCTCTGTCACTGCTACGTTTTCCGGTTTCTCAGTCTTGTCAGCCTTCTCTCTCTTTCTCCGTTTCCTCCTCTTGGCCTTCTTTAACGCTTCCTTGTCGTCATGCAACGAGTAAACCTCCAAAGACTTCCCGGCACACTGGCAACCGAGAAGCGTTCCCAGCTCGTTGAATCTCAAAGTGACTACTCGATCGTGGCTTTGTTTCTTCACGTCTCCCAGAAGCTGGAGCACCTCCCACTTTCCCGGATCGCTGGAAGGCTCGCTTGAAACTTGGAAGAGCCTGAGTTCCATGTCCGCACCACCAGTGACGACGTAGCGCTCCAGAGGATCCACATCGAGTGACCAGACTTCACTGCGGTGGCTCACGATCGTCTGGACGCAAGCTTGCGTTTGTATGTCCCACACACGAACGAAAGTATCCTTGGACGAGGTGAGAAGCTTGTTCCCATTCTCGATGAAAACAACATCAGTCACCTGGAAGAAAATCACGTCTAAGGAACAGAATGAATGAAGGAATGAAACTACGAGTGACTTACCTGGTCTCTGTGACCTTGAAGACGAAACAACCCAGTCTCGGCTACCGTATCCCACACAATAACGTCAGTGTCTTTGCTTCCAGTGGCAAGCAAGGAGCCATTTTTATTGTATCTCAAGGCAGTCACTGCTCCTCGGTGGCTGTTCATGGTTGATTCACACGCTCCCTTGACGATGTCCCAGATTCTAAGTGACCCATCGGAGTAGCCACTCGCAACCTCGAGTAGACGAAAGAAATCATCAAGCGAAGAGAAATGGAAGACAAGAATGTGGGAGCTTACCAGTGAGGAAGAGGCAGGCGTACATGCGATAGCAGTGACGGCGGGCCTGGAGCCTGATTCGGGGAGAGAGGGCGCGAGAGAATGCACGCAGAGTCCCTGCTTGACGTTCCAGACGAGGAGCTTGTCGAGAGCGCCGGCTATGAGGAGCTTCCCCGTGCTATCGTAGCACAGATTCGATTCCGCCGACACAACCACACCGAAAGAATTGCATTCCTCGTAGCGGAGGTAGGACTTCACCATGACAAAAAAAAACCCTAAACCCTAACCTACTTTCTTAAGTTAAGAAATTGTAAAATATTTTAAATTTTTAAACATTACTTCTTAAAAAAAATTTAAAAATTGGTTATTGCAACTAAATTTTAAAATCAGGTTGGATTCACATTAAATTTAATAATTCTTTAATAAAAATGATAATATCAAGATTTATGAATATAGTTACCATGTATATTATTTGTTATATGTCATCCATATAAACACTTATTATTTTTATGACATTTGTGAAGTCAAAATAGTTGTATTTTTTTCTTAATTATATATTTTTTAATATAAGTTTTCATTATATTTTTATATATATAGCTAATATTAATTATATGGATGGCAATTCAAGTTAATAATCTTTTCACATTCATAATATAGTGTGAGTTCTGCTTTTTTTTTAGTTTTTATATACAAAATTTTATTTATTTTCAAATCAGTATGCTAAAAGTGAATTATGAAAAAATTAAATTTCAGGGAGAAAAAGAATAAATGAAATTCTAAAATTTTAAATCCTCTTTCAAATTTATGAATATTTAATTCAAAAGATATAATTTTAGTTAGAAACCATTTGGTGGCAACTAATGGATAATAATATGTACAGAAAATTATGTTTAGAATTAATAATTATAATATTAATATTAATTATAATGAAATTATTTGACATTTTAAAATAGTGATAAAAATTATAGGTATAATAACCTTTATTGGAATCAATAAATGAAAACAACAGAAAATATACATATTTTAAAATCTATAAATGACTTCCACAAATAATTAAGATTTGACACCAAAACCCGGCTGACTTCACCGAAGTTTGCCGTTCCACGAAAGAAAACACCAACTACCTTCACCAATCACTTGCAGAACATGCAACCATGCCTCCTCCAGCAAATGCTGCAACCAGCGTCAGCAAAACTTCCACCCCTTCAATAAAATTCCAAGCAGAAGATTTGGGCCATTCAACCCCAACAGATACATTAATTTCAATGCCACATCTAAGCTGTTCATCTAGCACCAATCTGAAAAGCTCATCTCCAACCACCTCAAAGAATCCGAACCAACCACACCACCCACATCCAACGAAGCAAATTAAGCCTCCAGCAACTTCAAATCCTGGGACTAACAACACAGCGAACCCTAGTGAGGAACACAAGGATCACAGAGCAGGAGTAGGAGAAGCAACCATGCCTCAGCCATAGAGTCAGGTATGCCATGATTATGATAAGATCAGGAAGGAGTACAAGGATAAACTTTGCAACCTAAGCTACTGCACCTGCAAATTGTTCAAAGCCCTCGATCAACACATGCACCACAAGCAAGCGAACCACTTCCCAACACCAGCCGACATCGCATGGCACTTTCTCAAGCAAAACTCCTTCACATACACCCACGGAGCAATCAAGAAGGAGTTCTAAAAGCCCTTAAACCATTGGCTCAACACTCAACTCGAGGAGATGAAGCAAATCTGCACCAACCTCTGGGACATCAGGAAGATTGTCTCCAAGCAGCCATCAACCCCATCAGCAGCTCATGAATTCACCTACAAATTCAAGTATAAAGAGCTCAACACCCGCTACCGGAAGCTCAAGGATGATCATACTGCCCTCCTGGCTGAGGTAGTCGAGCTCCAGGAAGATGGGATAGATCCACCAGACAGTGTCCCCAACCATGAGCTTACACTCCCGCAGTAGAAGTGTTGCCTCTATCAACTTAAGCAGCAGCAACAACAAGTGATGGAGACTAACTAAGACAATGTCTAGTTCTGTCGGGGGAGCAGAGTGTATCAACCAAAAACCTAGGCTCAGGGGACTCTAACCTTGAACCCAAGGCTGCATCAGAGTTATAGGTTTGATCATACACAGCATATACCATTCATTAGCATATGCTGACAGTTAAAACCGCTAGCCTTTCAAGGGGGGAATTCAAGTTGTGGATCCCCATCTCCATTCATCATTTTCATATCAATACACAACATTCATTCACTCATCTTTCTTTCTCAACCCCTGAAGATCGGGCCCTTTTGTTTTCTCATTAGTAGATATCCAGCAAAGAGGAGTATCTACACCTCTTCAACAACATAAATTTTTATTAAGAAATTGTGACATATATAGAGCAAGCTAATTATATTATTTCCCAATAAGCTATATATAACTTAACATGTAACATGTTTCATATTAGGGTTAAATTTTTGCAAATTTTAGGGTTTAATTATTATGGCATCTTTTACAAAATCTTTGAATAGTTTATATAGTTAATGATATCTTAAATTAAATATTTTAATTAAAATATTTATATTTTAATTATATATTTTATTTTATTTTTTAATTGTATTATGATTTCAAGGGTTTTAGACCAATGTGTGGGTATCAATTTAACAATGATAAGTTTTACACAAATTAAATGTTTAGATTATCTTAAGGTTGGACTGAATTAGTTTTCAACAAATCATTCTTCTTCCTTCTTTTTGTTTTTCTTTAGTAGTTTTTTTTGTCTCTTTTTATTTTAACAATGTACTTTTAACAATTAAAACACTCTTTGATCTATGTGTTAGTCAAAGGAAAATTTCATGAGAAAGTGTAAACTCCCAATTAATAAAGTTTGGATTAGCATTATTGTTGTCTAAAACTCAAAAGAAAAGGTTAAATTTAATGCACTAAAAGTGAGTAGTGATGTAGAAAAGTTTTGAAGAGCCATGAAGAAAGAATGGAGCTAAAATAAATAAAGGAAATGAGTTTTTAAGTCAAACAATTTTAAATTGGATTGGACATTTTTATTTTCTAAATCATATATATTACATCAACCACACGAGCGTAAGGGTAAAAGGATATTATTCATGGAAGTGGTTTGCATTACTATAATATGTATAAAGGTGATTTTTATTTGGCATCATCATTTAACATTGGAAAGACATTGTTAAAATGTAGCTTTAATCTTCATTGAAATTGCATTTTGGTCATGTGTTGGTTAGTCAAATACTAAGACCATTGGACGAGGAAATAATTTGTTACACGTTGCATGTAGTAACACTTGGTTTGTTTAATAGTGGTGTTATTCCTACTTATTAATCCAATTGATCAAGAAAAGTTTATAATTATAAGCATTTTTGTAAATTATAAACACAAGATTAATCTTATTGCATATCAATTATTAGATGGTAGAATAAAAAAGAATATATTAGAAAGGTTTTAAGAAAGTTTATAAACTATAAATATAAAATTAATCTAAATGAGTTTGATCGTAAAATATTGTAGAATATCCAAGCATATTTTAGGTATATCCACTACCATCTTAGTCGTCCTACAGGTTTGCTTAAGCAAACAAAAAATGTTTGTGACAATGTTTTAATAATATTGATTATTATAGTAAGCATAATGATTAATGGTAAACAGTAGAAATACTGTATTTAGATGAGAAAGCATAAGATCTTTAACAACTTCACAAAGGCAGAAAACACTAGATCTTTAACAACCTCACAAAGGTCAAGGCATAATTGTTTCTTGAGAGTTATATTGTTCCATGAAATAATAGTGATGACCATCTGAAATTCCAATGCATAAATAAATGCAGATTTGGAGCTTTTGCACAATTATTATAACTTGCTAATGGTACTTCAGTTTTAATTAGTATTGTTAAACATACTAGAGAAGTGTTGATCAAAGAAATCAAAATCTTGAAGAACATAATCACTATTTTCAAAAAGAGCCGAAAACTAGGAAAGGGTCTCATAGTAAAAAGTTGAAGTGAAATATCAGCCAAGTCTCATATAAGAAGTGAAAGTGGACTATTGGCTAAATTGTATAGTAATTAAAAGCTTGATTTGGTTGAGGAAGCTATAGAACTTGGATTATATCCCATTAAACATTGTTGCTATACTAATTTTTGGGTCAAAATTAGGAAAATGTTGTTAATGTTGAAGAATTTATTGAAGTTGTGAATGAATAATTGTATTAGATTGCTCTAATACGTGATATAAATTCTATAAAGCATCAAGATTTGATTAGAGGTGAAAAAGGATTTAGGGAAGCTAAAGTTTAACTTCTATTGAAGTAATAAGAGTTGAATAGATCATGAATATAGGTTTAACGTTCAATGTTTAATTGATCTATTCTTTTTTTAATCTTTTAAAATTTGTATTCAAATCTTAACTTACTTGTAAACAATAAAAAAGAATGATTTAATATATAATCTGTAAAATTTCAAATATAAAAAGAAAGAGCCCATGAATGAAAATATACCTTCTTTTACAATCAGTTAAGTGTTCTAGAATAGTTGGGGTTAAACAATTTTGGATTTCAATAGTACTAGATTGAGTGGTCTCATGTGAAGTCCAAACTCATAAATTTATATTTATTATCAAATTAATCTTGGGTTAGCTTTATTAGTTAGTTGGGATGCATTAAGGTTGACATTGAGCTCCAACTGGGCTTGACCAACAAAGGCTGTAAACTTGCAAGGAAGAATAATAGATTATAAACATCTAAAACAAATTAATAAATGATCTATAAAATTGTTAATATAAAGGAAAAGGGCTTTCTTCTCCAATTGATTAAGGGTTTTGAAATATCTAAACTTACGTGTCTTTGGTTTGAGTAATACTAGCTTGTGTGATATTTAAACTCAAAACTTTTACATATGGATTCTTTTCTAGAGCCTTTATAAAAGCAAGATTTTGAGTTTTTATATTTAAAGTGTTTAACATAAATCCATCTTTTATTCTCTACACTTTCAATATTTATTAGTAGTTTTATTGTCTTTGCAAAAAAGAGTTTCCTCTTGACAATAAGCTCCGATAAAAATATTTTAATAACTTTCTAAAAGAAAATAAAAACACTATCTACTTTATATAATATAGAAGTTTCTAAATTTTACAGTATAACTGACATATAAAGAAGTTTTATCAATGACTTTATAGCTATATTTTGTTTTCTCTTCCATTTTAAAAGTGATATTTCTCAAACCTTTAACTTTAAAACTATTAACTTATGC